TGACCGTGACGCGTTCCCTACGTTGCAGAATCTCGGAGACTGTCCCAAAGGAGAGTCTCGGCATCATAGTCAAGTACAAGGTGAAGGTTCGCCTGATCCTCGGCGGATTAGCAGGGTGAGTGACGCAGTCAACATCCGAAATGCATTTCCAATTCAACTACGACCTGCATGGGTGCAGTTGTTTGATCGTCTTATGTTTAGAGCTGATTGAGTGGTTTGATGGATTGGTGGTTAACTAACTGAATTATGAAATGCTGTCATTTGATTTCATATTTATGACTACGTTAACTGAGACAACAAATCATCGGTATATTGGCTGGCGCGCTTTGTGTCAGCAAAACCTTATTCGATGCGCTTGAATTGTCATTGTGTGGGTGTCTAAAGGCTCACGGTTTGAACTCTGAACCCTCATGGTCCCGACATTAATATTGCATGAACGCTGAGAGCTCGGGCGTGCCTTCTCACAAAGCTCGAGCGTTATAAGATACAGAGGCTGAACTGTCGCCACGAAACGTCCGCGCTGTCCTCTGAAATACATCGCCGTCATTTATAGCGGGCTTTCTTTCTTCAGAATCATTTGATGCTCCCAGTAAACCTATTGCCAAAGAGCATAGGGTACAAAGTCATAAAGTCGTCATCAAATGTCATTTCCACAGCTACGGATTGACATTCGATTGAGCCCGTCATTGATGTGTTCGATCGCTCCGGATTGCTTGGTTTCTGAGAGTTTTGTATGTGAGGAAAGCACTCGATTTCTTGTAGTCTGTCCTGGTCTGAAGGAATCTGCTCGATGTCCGAGTTGTCTGATCTGTGAAAACATTTCTTTGTTTTCCTGGGATTCTGATCTGCCATGAAGCCTCTCGGTCTCTAATCTGTCTATGATGGATATGATGGAACATCTGGAGTGGCGTGATCTGTGGTCCATAGTGGGAGCTGCTTACCAGAGCCGCGGAGTCCATGGGGTTTCAGCGACTCCGAGTCCGGCTTCCAAAAATCGACTCCGACTCTGGGCAGAACTGTCGACTCCGACCGACTCTAACTCCGCAGTCGACGATTTTTCGGTGACTCCGACTCCGAGTCCGGCTTCCAAAAATCGACTCTGACTCTGGTCAGAACTGGAAGGAACAACACGCTCTCCTGACGGATACCCTGGTCACTGGCCTGACCTCAGCCATCCGCCCACGAACGTCTGGTCGGTCGGCGGTGGGGGCGCCGGCTGGGGCGGACGTAAATCACTGCTAGGGCCATCAGTGACGCCAGAGTGATGTCGCGACGTCAGCGACGCCGCCATCGGTCCCCAGCAGCCGGCGCGGAGACGGCCGGCCGATCGAACTCGGCAGTCGATCAGATTTGGCCGTCAGGGTCGGAGCGGGGCTGAGGGCACATGACGAGACTCAGTTCTAGCTATCCGGTGGAACTGAAACTATTTGATCAAAGATGGGTCAGCGTGTTGGTGACGGTGTGATGGTCATAAGACTGCCCTGGAAGTGATGGACATTGACGAGATTGGTTCATGATGCGTGGTGGCAAAACCCACCAAGTTGTGCCTGACCTGCTAAGGGATAGCTCATCGGTTTCTGTTTCCAAATGCTCTCAAAATCAGCTGGTGCTCAACCTTCACTCCCCAACCACGGTATTTCTCCCACCCTTTCCCGGTTAATCGCAGATACAGGAATGATCCCACAGTGTCCTCCCTCCAACAGGGCCTCACAGCGGACATCATGTCCCCTTTCGTCAGCGGCATCCAGAGGCCCAGTCCTGACCAGCACGTTCCGTCCACCTCCGGTGGCACACCTTTGACACAGGATATGTCTCAGTGTCCTGCGATCTGACCTCTGGTGACCTCGGCACCCCACATGGGTCCCACTAGGGCATCCCGTGACTCCAGACAGGCTGAGTCAGGGAGGCAGTCGAGTATATGGACCAGGAAGGATCCCAGGGAGCTGACCAGCAGAATGTCGTGGGGTCTCGTACCGTGGCGGCGACTGGGTGTCAGCGGGCCGGACGCTGACGGGATGCTGAGGTCAGCGGCGGGTCAGCGCGAGGCTAAATATGCAGACTGGACAGGCGGGGCGGGGAGGAGAGATTGGGGAGACGCGGGTGCGAAAGTGCTCAATCGAAGAGAGGGGATAGCGATGCAGTGACGCGCTGTCATACTCCCTAACCGAGCGACTGTGGTCAGGTTATTTTAGAACGTCAAGATCCGTTCCTATTCTGTCTCATTACTTGTCAAATATTAATTTTCCCTCGCCATTGATGGTCTGTCCGGTGTTAACTGTCTTGTCTTGTCCAACCTTCCGAGTTGCCCCTCACGCTGATTTTTTGCCCGCTGTCTCACAGTCCTGTTCCGTTCGACAGAGAGCTGTCAGCCGAGCTGCCCTTCACGCTGATGCACCCCAAGCCGGAGGAAGAGGAGGTGACGAAGCCGGCGGCGTCGCCGCGCGCCGAGTCACCCAGCGAGGAGCCGGCAGACGCCAATCTCATCCAGCTAGAGTGAGTGACACACGCGACAGGGCGTCCTCTGTAACCCTCGGGGACCCTAGACGTGACCCTTGGGACCTCACAGAACGATTGGTAGACTGCGAGATGATGGATTGGTCTTGTGCTTTATTTAGGATGCAGTGGCTGTGGAGCGGCATGAGATGAACCAACTGGTGTTTGGAGCTGACGTTAGTTCATTCTCATGTCAGACACGACACGTGTGTTATTCGTATGTTGCACTGCTAACTTCTTCCTGAACTATGATCCATTTCAAATTTATTAGGTTACATTTGTATTGCAAATTTCTTGGTGCTTGTATTCCTATGAGATATGTTTGGTTACGCTGTCTAATGTTCGAAGTTTGCCCGTATTCTGAGTTGATTATCGCCCAACTTAAACCTAATTTATGCTTTTAGAAGAATATTATGCAACAGCGCCTGAATGCTGCTGCCCAGTTTTAACCGGCTCTTGATTCATTATCCGGTGCCTCATTGGCGTGGGCCTGTCTACCCGATATGACATGCCTGACAGCGTGCTCCATTTAATATGGCCATATTGATTTCGATTTTGATGAAGGTCCGTATCCGGGGGCCTGTGAAGTGGGATTCGTGGAGCCCATTCTAATCAGTGTAATTGCAGTCAGTCCAAGCCCGCTGGCGTGGCGGGTCTGGCTTTGATCACGTCTGTTCGGAGCTACCGGGTCGGGTCGGTCGGGTGGGCAGCGCTCGTCCCGTCGGGCGGACGGAGTAGTACTTAGCTGAACCAGTGGAACTGATGGATCTCAGCCTGATAGCAGGGGTGGTGGGGCGTGAACAGGAGGATAGGAGGCCCCAGTGAGCTAGAGAAATAAATAATGTCGAGTTAAATAAACCATTTTGTGAATCTGTTTGCCTCAGGGATGAGGAATTTCGTATGGGGAACTTTGGCTGGTTCAGTTGAAGCCAGCTACTTTCTAACTAGGCGTGACGATCCACGTTACTCCCTCCTGTGTTTTGAAAACGGTCTCCCTGACTAGGTGTGCCTAGTCTGTTCGCCTGCCTAGTCTGTTCGCCATGTACCCTTACTGAATAAGCTGATCCGTCACCTGACCTCCGCTCCACTCTCCGCAGGGACACGGGCACGGCAGGCGCCGGCGACCACGACGACGACCTCATCTTCGAGGACTTTGCTCGACTGCGGCTGAAGGCGGGGGAGACGGAGGCCTGAGCGGCCCGGCCCGCCTCGCTCCCTCTGCCAGACTGTCATTCCTCACATGTGTGCGAGCGCGCGCTTCGCTTCTCGTGGTGTTTTCGTGCTGCGTCGGTATGTGTTGCGTCGCGTCGAGTCGTGTCGTGAGGCTCGGAAGCTGACTGGTCTCGGTGATCCCGTGTCGTGACGTGTGCACGACGTCGGCCGACAGGGGTCACCTGAGGTCAGCCCAGGTCACGGCCTCGTCCAATCAGAGATGTTCTAACTACGCTCGCGAGCGGCCGCGAGAGGCATGCGGTAAATACATACATCCCTCCCGCACAGTGACACAGACGCACACAGACACACAAACGGACCTGCGGCGCCACTGGTAAGAGTGGCGCTGCTATCAGCCCGCCCCTCTGTGTACGCGGGCGGTAGGGTGGTGCGCGGCGACTGCCGCACAGAGACTAATACGACGCGCGCCGGCGTGGGTCAGTGAGAGACCGAAATGTAGCGCTAGTCAAACGGCGCCGGCCTCCAGGGTACCTCAGTGGGCGGTGGTGACGTCACTGGTCACTGGGTGACGTCACTGGTTGGGGCGACCCGCCGCGCGAGGCTGGCGATGTGGGGCAGGGCCGGCGGCGGCGGCGGCTGTGTCGGCCGCCGGCTCTTTTACAGCTGTGAATGGTGGTGTCAGTGTCATTGGTGTGGCGCCTGTTCTCATCGGTGTAGCGAACATTTACTTCCGCGCACAGACTGCCCCTCCTACAAATGTGGTTCGCGCGCGGCGGCTGCTCCGGCGGAGCGCTGTTCGTTTCCTGCTTTAGCGGCGGTTTATGGAGCGGCGGACTGACCGGCCGCGGTGACTCGCCTGCCGCTCCGTTCCATGAATGTGCGTGTGTGCCATGACGCTCGTACTGGGCGGCCCGCGCCGAGCCGCCGGCCGGTGAAAATACGTACGCTCTGGCAGACTGCGCCGCCGTCTGTGAGAGCTGCTTTTCTAACGCGATCGCGCACACCCTCGTGGCGTCCCTGTGATGGGCGAGGTGGCCGCGCTGCCGCCACAACCACCCTCTTCGGTATGCTCTGTCATGGTGCTTGTGATGAGAGAGTGGGAGCGAGAGAAAGAGGAGACTTTTCCACATAAACTGTCTGACTGTGGCTCGGTGGTGTTTGAGAATGAAATATGCAGCGGATAGTGTGGTGGGTTGGAAGGGAACGGAAGCCAACTTGGCTGTATCAACTTTGCGGTACCGATAAGAATTCAGTTAATTAGCTCAAGACATTCCCATGTATCCCGTGTGCATCTCTCATATGTGAATGCGTCTAAGCCAACTCAACAAACACGCTCGAAGCTCCAGTTTCATATTGTACAATACGAACTTGCAATACAAACAATGAACGGCCAAGCGAGGCAGACGACGGTAGGTGACAGCGACATGGGACACGGTTGCAGTTCGTATTCACCTGCGGTCGTATAACCACGCTCACATCACGGTATCACAGCGACAGGAGCCATAGTTCGTCACAGGAGGACGAAACGTCGGCCAACGGAAGATCGCGAGGTGTGGCCACAAGCAAAATAGAATCCTGGCTCCACCACTGGTAGACATAGACCCTGGTCACGTGACTTAAGACAAACACATTAATCCAGTGGTGTTTTGATTCGACACATGAATCAAGCATATGTGACGGGCTGAGATGCTCCGCGGTGCGGTGGTCTAAGTACGTTTACAATAAATACTCTGCTAATGTGACATAGCAAGCCGTCGCACCAACCTTTCAACCTTTCGCTCACCAGTAGGTATGTCGCAAAGCAAGATATCGGCCATCACAGTACATACTATGTTCATATATCAGCATTTACGCGCTTACGCCTTTCTTCCTTCATAGCACAATACAACTCTCATCCATAATATATCGTTTTCGAACTAAGTACATCGTACTAATGCCATCTCCACACGGAAGCCTACCCGCCCGCCACCCACCACCTTTCTGACACGGTGAAGACGGCGAAACCCCCACGATGTAATACCCGCTCCAACTGCCCCGGCCGTGTCTGGAGTTTGTCCTCGGCAGGCCGCTGGGACAGGGGTGACCGCCAGTGACTAGGTGACAAACACGGAAAGTCAGCGACACGCCGCTTGGAGAGCAAGGCATGAGAGTATGAGCACATATCCGCCCGCTGAGAGAAAAATCGGACAGACCGCGCATCTACGATAGTGGGATGCTAACGCGCCATCATTTGCACAATAATTCGTAGGCTATGTCTGTAACAAGCCACACGACTGAGTACTGAAAATTGCTAGCTTTAAAAGCATATGTGAAGAGCAATGAGCAACAAAATGATAATTGAAAACGAGTAAGGAATGGTGCCCAAAATGTCACGAACTTACTCTAAGACGTCGACATTGGCAAGGTTGCACAAGGTTTGTTGGCACAACAGCCCACTGCAACAGCAGGCGTTCGCACACAACCTACTCCAGCATAATGAACACAATAAATCACACAAATATACTATCACAAAAGTGAACAATAGAACTCTGGTGGAATTGGTAATTTCGCAATGTTCGGTCGGTAAATAAAACCCATTCCCGCCATCAGATGGTGAAAAGCCGAGTGACGAAGGTCGGAACAATGAAGTGAAGCGCAGCTCGACAGCTTGATATTACAACGGCGCCTCTGTCAGTTCTCAAATGTTCTTGAGTGTACCGGTAGCAGTGGGCGACTCCATAATCTCCACAGCTGAGGAGTGACACAATCCTCAAATCTCCCAAATGAGGCGGCAGTGATGCCAGTCCTCAAACCAGCGCTGAGTTCCCAGACTACCCTGCAGTAACGAGCCTCTTCCGATGTTGTCTTGCGGTGCGATGGTCATCAGACCTTTCTCCGTAGCGTTGCTTAAAGGGTGCTTTTCGTCCTCAAACGGTGCTATGCAGTGCCCGCGGGTCATCGGGACATTGCTCTGCCCAAAGTTTTCGGAAAGCTTTCAGACGATCCTCTGAAACGTTGCTTTGCAAAGCCGATTTGGACACCTCACATCAGCCGCCTTGCTCACCAGTGTTAACCATCCTCAGACGTTGCTTTGTAATGCTGAGTCTCCAGGGGTTGCTTTGCAGTGCTGACAATCCCCAGACGTTGCTCAGAAGCCGTGGGCTGGCTGTGACAATTCCTCAGACATTATGCTCTATATAGCTGAATCCCCAAACGTTGTTCGGTGGCTGTGGCGAGACCTAAGACGACGCTCTGAAGCCGTAGCGGCAGTGGTGAGTTCCCAGATACTGCCTGCGCAGCTGATTCCTCAGACGTTGCTCTGATTGTTGGCAGTCCTCTCGCGTTCCTCTGCCGCGCTGGGAGCCCTCAGACATCCCTCCGCAGAGCCGAGTCCCTCACACGCCTGTCTTCAAAGCTGAGCAGGATAACTTTACTACTAAAGGTGCTGAATCGGTCACACGTTGCTCTGCAGCTGCTGCGGCGGCTGGGCAGCGAACCTCAGTAACCGATCGACAGTGATGCTGATTCGCGGCAGCGTGTGCAGCTGGTTGACGTCCGTAGGCGCGCAGAGATGCTCCTGAGGGTCAGCCCGACAGCGCCGGTTAGATGGAGGGCAGGGGAGGGAGGCGGATGGGCAATGGGCACAGTACGGTGCAGGGGTGGGGAAGGGCAACGGGGTCACAGTACATGGACACTGGTCACTGGACAATGTTAGACAGCTACAATTGATGGCAATGAAGTTCAATGAAAACGTATGCCAGCCAATGTCGTCTATTTATCGGCAATAAAAGGCACATCCGGCTTACTGCGGTATTGAACAGAGTGAAAGATGAACTAAGAGCTTACAAACTTTGTGTTATGAAAACTAGCTGGCCCAACGAACGAATCATCCCGCGACAAGCGATTTTACTGTCAGCGTAATGTTATCGTCGTACCAACACAGAACATGACACACACGATACATGACGCCAGACAGCATCAAAAGACAGCAGACTTCAATAGAACTTACCTGCGTCAACGCAATCATACATTGGTATTGGTTAATCGCTAAAATACAGGTTGGATTATCTCACCAAAGTACCCTACACCAAACGTCGACCCACAGACATACTAGGTACTGGCAAACACCACACCAAACCCTTCCCCAATCCCAAAATACCACTGCGACCGCCGTTTCAGAGCCCAAGCTTACCAGGTGATGCACAGCACGAATGCACTGGCAAATGTGCATTCACTTTTCATTCCAAGCAAGTGTTGGCAGCATCAGCAGACAACATTGGATGAACGGATATTTATTACATGCAACATTTTGCTTTAGCCTCTAGTACAGAGCGGCTCAACGTCAGCCTTGAGCTAAACATCTGTCGATGTTGCCAAACCACCTGGTAAGGCTAGGTTCTGAATAGGTGTACCATGCCCGACTAGAAAATCCCACTTACGTTATAAGTTAAACCTGAACAATCTCTGTTCCTAGTTGGCCTGGCCACGGCACACCAAACGGCACAAGTCGCAGCGGTCGCCAGGCACCGAAATACGAAGGACAGACGGTCTAAGGGCGACACTGTGACCCCCTCCACCGAAATTATCCCTCCAATCCTCCCCGATTCCGCCAATACCGTGCGCTTGGGTTCCAGCGCTGAAGACTCTGCAAAAGATACTGAGCTCTTATTTCCAAGCGCTGGAATGTCAGCAAAAGACGCTTGGCGTTCAGCTTTAAGCGATGGGCTTGCTTTAGCCGCTTGGCTCTCAGCTCTAGCTCCTCGGCCCAGCTTTAGCTCCTCGTCGGCCCTTAGCTTCAAGCGCTCGTTTCCCGGCTCCCGGCTCCCGCGGCCAAATAAAACTCACCCGAACAGAACGACAGAGAAAGAAGGCAAGGAAACAAAACAGAAGATAAAAAGAAGAAATACAAAAAGAAGAAATCGCGGACGGCTGATCCAATCGCCAAACCGCTACTGAAAGAGGTTTTACACAGCAGATAGTTAACCTTATCACCACCACCCTCGTAGAATACTGCCCCGAGCTCTCCCACTTTCGGTAGATACCCGTCCGAGTAGAATGGAGGGCGCCGCGCCGCCTGCCCTTCAAGTTGCACGAGCCCGCTACTACACGGCGAATCGAGCTAGGTTACAACCAGCAGCGAATGCATGCCGTTAGCACCAGAGGTCAACGTCAAACGCTCGGAAAACAAAACCGGGCCAATAAATCTAACTAGCAGCAAGCGGCGGGGCGCATTCAGAAAATTAAAAACAAAATACGCAACTTAGACACGATTCCCAAACGGAACAGAACAGACATGTAACTCAGCCGGGTCGGAGACACAGGGAGAGACAGAGCAGGATGGCCGCGGGAGCAGAGCAGAGGGGCAGAGGTGGGGAGGTGGGGAGGGTGCCCGCCGTGCCCAGACCGTCTGTCCCCGGCCGGCGCGGCCGCGGGCACTCACGGGGCCGCCGGCGGCACTGGGAGGGAGGCGGTGGCCGGCTGTCACTGCGGCTCGGGCAGCAGGTACAGCACCAGCCACGAGCCGACCAGCGTGCTCAGCAGCACGGGGGTCAGCCAGGCGGCGTCAGCCGCCGCAGGCGCTGACCGGGGCGCGGGCGCGGGCAGGGGCGGGGGCGGGGGCGGCGTGACGGGGCGGAGCGGGGCCGGCAGCAGGTCGCGCGCCACCAGGTGGGCTGAGCGCAGCGGCTCCTGTAACAGAGCGGCCGCCCGGTCATCAGCGACACGCCGCCGCCGGCTGACCGTCTGTCCGTCTGTCTGTCTGTGTATCCGCGCCTGTCTGACGGACTGTCAGCGGCGCACTGCACAGCTCCACTCACCGGTCTGGGGGACGGGTTTCATCAGCCGCCAGCCCGACCGGGGCGGACGGAACTGGTGGTAACTGGGTAGGTATCGGGCGGAAAACTACAAGGGAGCCTGAACTGGATAACTGAGCGTGCTGATCTGTCAACCGCGCCAGCGACGGTGTCTGATAAAAACTACGTGGACGCACTTCAAATCACTAGGTTAATGAGAGGATTTTGAAGGGCAGAGCATGATGTGAAGAGAAACAGGAAAATAGAGCTAGTAATGGTATGTGTGTATCGAGAAAGATATAGAATAAACAGGTAACACCAAGACATGAGATCGAACTACAACAAGACTGTTGCACATCGATAATAACTTTAACTAGTATTAAAAAGTTTTAAATCTGGCCTAACATGCATACCATCGACCATTTAACTCTGAACACTAACCGTGGGCATATATGTCTAAACATCCACCACCAATTGAAGTCCAGGCATCGAAAGATGCAGAACAGGAAATAGATAGACCAGACAAGAAAAGAGAAGAAGCCAACTAAAAGAACCAGCGCAAGACGAGCAGGACGCCACTAGACAACAACACGCAGCCAACTACAGACGCTGAACACGTATCTACAACAAACAGCAGGGTCTCACGCCTAGCCAAGTCTAGCGCGGACCTACTGAAGGACAGAGACGCGACTGAGCACCTCCCGAAGTCCCGTAGAGAGGAGTTTTCAGGAAATGACCCGACCCGAGCCATATCGAAAGCGGACAGAGAACAGAGAGAGAAAGACAGACGGTGAGCGGTGGGTGGTGTGTGCGGTGCAGTGCGTCACAGACAGACAGACAGACAGACAGACAGACAGACTGGCTCAGCGGTGCGGCGGCGGCTGGCGACGTGACCGAGTGCGGCGGAGGCGGCGCGGGGGCGGGGGCGGGGGCGGCCCCTGGCAGTAGCGGCGGCCATGGCAGCTCCTGGCTTCACGGCGCTTCCCTGCGCTGTGATCTCGTCATGCACAACGAATGCACATCGGTTTGCACACCGGCCTCCACCACACAGTAGCGCGTGCACGTGCAAAGCCGTGCATTCGAGCAGGGCGGCGACGTATCATGAATACACACGATATCCCAGCAGTACCCACCCATCACCTACCCACCACACGTCCCATCCATCCTCGCTATCCTGACCCACAATCCCACCACCCATCACCCGAGCAATATACCCTCCCACCATCACCGTATCCACACTATCCATATACTGACCAACCCAACCAGCGCTCACTGCCTCGAAAGGAGGCAGCCGCCCGGAGGTTGTGCTATTAGTCCCTGGTGCCAGCGCCGGGCCCTCATGCACTCCCATCCCTTCCCTTACAGCGTCTCGCAGTACTCCGTCTATCTTACCTCCTCCACACCGATCCTTCGGCAGGCCTCGAGGAAATTCTGCAGATTCCGACGACACTTGGCTTCGTTCAGCTTGGGCTGGAAGGTCGACATTAGTCAGAGGGTGTCAGTAGGATAGGCCACGTCGGAGTAACCAGTAAGACATGAGCACCGATTGAAAGGGCAGGCATTGCACAATGCACAGCCAAAGATGGTAGGAAACACAGCATCTGAGACAGAGAATATGGTCTCAATAGAGATTTTGGCAACTTTTCATACAAGAACTAACTCGAAATTCGAGTGAATGGCAAGTTGCTGTTAGTTGATAAATGATTACATAGGTATTTCAACTAGCAAGACAGGTTCTGCAGTCAAAGGATGGATATGCGATGCTGAGGCTACAAAGTATACAACAGAGCATATGCATCCACCGTGCACATCCACCTTGCACAGCCTCAGTCAGTTCTGCACCAAACAAAGCAATCGATACACAACAGTGCTATAAATGCAAGGCAAATAGTACAAGCATACCTGCAACTGTTCCGATTGCAGGAAAAAGGAAAGCTCACTCAAAAGTTGATTAACTTTATACCTCAGTGGTAATATAAGGACTGGTTGCAAAACGTGACTAAATAGGTAGGTAGCTAATTAAATATGCATTTAAACTAGTATCAAGAACTTAATTATCACAAAGAGTGATTTCTAATTTCTGGCAAGTGGCATGTCATTAAGTTAGAGCACGCACACAGAAAGAAAACCTATGCTTATTCACGGACAGACTATCCTCCCCTCCCTGGCATGTTCCACAGCACGTGCACGGCGCCACGGGTGACTCACCACGGCTGGTGACGGCACGTGTATGGACGAGACGGCACGTGGTCGCACGTGGTTGGCCAGGTGGCAGAGCACCACACCGTCACCGAGCGCCGAGCGCAGGTCGTCCGGTAGCGACACGTGCAGACGGCCCTCGATGTTCTGAGGGAGGTAGAGGGTGGGGGTTAGAGATAGACTAGGGATGGAGGGTACACGGTAGCTGATGTCGGGGGACAGGGGGCAGTGTGGTAAGGAAAGAGGGTAGAAGCCAGCGGACATGGTCATATGACGAGTGACAAGTGTGTGAGCTAGTAAGTCGAGCGCTACATTTAACAGGTAACAGAAGAGCTATAAAACGGATACAAAATGCACTGTGTCTGCCGGCTATGACACTGGAAACGACACCACCTTTCCTGTCTTTGTGTGCGCACATAGGCAATGGAGCGTCTAGGATCGGAGTAGCCTATATCGTTCCGGAACCCAGCCATCACTCAGGCCGTCTGTTCAACTTGAGCAACACCCCAGTCCATATTCCCTCACCACGCACCTGACGTAGCCTCTCGATGGCTTCCTTTTCCCGCGCGCTGAGCCCCGCCTGGTGGCCGGATGATGAGCTGTAGCCACTAGATGCACTCTGGTGACTAGGCGGTGAACTATAGCCTCCAGACGCACCCTGGTGACCGGGTGGGGAACTATACCCGCCAGTAGCTCCCTGGTGACTGGGAGGCGAAGTATAGCCACCAGTAGCGCCCTGCTGGCTGGGAGGCGAAGTATAGCCACCAGCAGCTCCCTGCTGGCTGGATGACGAACTATAGCCGCTGGACGTGCCGCTAGATGGCACTCCTGACGGCTTGGTGCCCAGCCCGTAGTGCCGTGAGGACGGTGTGTGATTTAGCCCGGAGGCGGAGCGGGCTGGCTCGAACCGACGCATCACGACCTGGCTCGACCGGTCCGGCTCGTACCCTGGGGAGGGCAAACACCGTCAGACGCTGCTGGTCACGAAGAGACAGCCAGCCCGACATGCATGTCAAGGGTCAGGTTGACAGGTCACAAGTCAGGCCACGTCAGGTCGCAGATCATATTAGTCGCACAGGCAGGCAGCAGCGTGGAACTAATAATTTACTCCACTCGATATGAAAGCATGGAATCTCAAATGCTGGAAAATGTGCCAGCCAGGACAATGAAAGCATGATTATTTGGTTGTGATACTCGATCCCGATCTGAGGCTACGTCCTTTACTCCCCATACTCCGATTCCCAGCTATCTCCGTGGCCCTGAAATACCCACCTGAGTATGCCGCCGCCTCATGTTTGGGCGGTGCGTGCGAGCCCCTCTGGCTGACTATTGACGTCCTGCTCTCAGGACCGGCCGGTGTCACTGGCACAGGCGCCGGGGTTGGCACCGGAACCGGAGGCGGAGCGGGGGCGCGCGGCTGAGGAGTCCGCACGTCATTTCCTCCGACGGGCGGCGGCCGCGCCGATCGGAGCTCGAGCTCGTCAGAGGCTCCGCGTCTGTGCCGCTCCTCCTGCTCACCCCGCACCGCCTTGATCTCCAGGAACTTGTAGATGTGCAGCCGTCCCCGAGCACACACCTGTTGGAAGTTAACGGCTTCAGTTATGGGTGGGAGCATTAGTTTTATGTCCATGTACATAAGAATTGCGAAACTTACAGCACGAAGGAATCATACACGATTCTTTAGAATGTTCGAACCGAGGCGTTCGTATTACGGATGTTAGTAGTCGGAAAAGGCTGTGAAATTTAGATCAAAACTCAAAATGGTGTCGAAAGTCCTATCACTTGCATCTGTAGAGAAAGCATATCACACAAGCATCCACATCAAAGCAAACGCAGTCATTGCAATATGAGCCGCTACATGTCGGCTTATTGGGAAGGGGACGGACGTGATGTCGGACGTGATTGTCCTGTGTCCACTCACCGTTGCCGGCGGAAACTCTAGCGGGTTACAGGTGACAATGAGCTTCTCCAGGCTGGACATGAGCCGCAGCTGCAGAGGTAGCGCTTTGATCTGGTTTTCTGCCACGTCCAGTACCCGGAGACCCAGCAGACAGTGGATATCTGCAGCGGCGGCGGCCAGCAGGCATGGTCAGACAGGAGGAGACGAGGTGACTACAAAAAGAACATGTCTTAATAATAAAAAGCGTATTGCACTGGGAGCCAGCTGGTTGGTTTTACAAACATTGTCCTTTATCATTGCCCAGAATGTGATCGTCATATCACCGACAGCAAAGACCTGCACGTGTCATAGGTAAACAGATTTGCGGAATGTATGCACATTGCACATTGATGTAATATCAGATAAGCTCTATCGAACTGAAATAGCATATACCAGTATTAAAGTCACCCAATCACAACCACAAATCCCGCCGAGATCATCCACCAGCCGTGATACCCCCCCCCCCCCCCTCCTCTGCAGTCGTCTGCACCAGACCGTCCCTACCACAACCAAAACCCGCCCTAAAACCATTCAACAACAGTGATATCGCCCCTCTGCAGTCGCCTGCACCACTGACCGTCAGGGAGCCGCTGCAGTGAGTTACGGCGCAAGCTGAGCGAGACGAGTGACTCCAACCGCTTCAGCGTCACCGGTAGCTGATTGATCTCGTTACAGCGCGAGTCCAGCTCGGTTAGATGGGTCAGCTGGCCTGGAACGATCGTGGCAGAACAATACGATAGACACGGCAGCACACAACGCATAACATTAAGCGCATAACAACGATACGATAATGCACAACGCATTGTATAAAGGCATAAAGGCATAAACACCAGTACATTCAGTGTGTTATCACGAGCAAGTCAAAGGAGCCAACCCAACCGTCACAGGCTCTCATTCAGAGGGGCGTTATATATGGGCGATAGGATTATCGATCAATCTGATATCTGGTAGTAGGGCCACTTATAACACTCCGCTGTGGTACATCAAAACACTATTCTTTACGGGCAGTGGAAACTTACATAAGTTACGATCAACAATCGAGACTACAGACACATTGTAGTACCGTTACATATCAAGCCTCCTATTGACCTCCTACCCATTTACGCCTATTGATACTTGCATGATTTTACATTAAACAGTTAAACGGAAGTTGAGAACGATACTTATCTTACATGTGAGCGGGTCGTCAATGTAAAACTAAAAACCTACATCGCTACCAGCGTAAACAGGCAGAAGCCCCTGGAGGCGGTTTACATACCGATTTCCTCTGGCAGCGAGACGAGCTTGTTGTAGGAGACTATCAGCACCTCGAGCCGCGGTAACGCGCACAACGCAGGAGGGAGGAACGTAAGCTGGTTTCGGCTGTGGAACAACAAGAAACGTGCCGTCAAAGGGAGAGGTAGTGACCAAAGTCTACAAACTTCGTGAGCTTAGTAGTGGCATTGGTCTGTAAAACAACGATGTAATGTAAGAAAACAGAGTGAAAGTTTTAAGCGATGCACAATTTTCTGTATCAGTTAAAACTTTATAGGCTTTGACAATAGTTGATTTCACGGCTTTAGCAGCTGTGAAATAAGACGTCGACGGGCTCCCTGCCCTGAGCTGCCCGACCTGATTGACCAGCCCTCTGACTTCCCGGCCTGACCTGAGGTTGAGGATGGTGAGGTTGCGCAGCTGGTGGATCCGCTCGGGAATGCCCCGGATGCAGTTGTGGTGGACGTCCAGCTCCTCCAGGCTCCGACCATTCTCCACCAAGCCCGGTGGAATCTCCGATAGACGGTTCTTGGACAGGTCTGGACAAACAGATACAAACTGTCAGCACACCTGGGTGCTCGAAAACTTAACTTGAACATTGATATGAGACAACATATGTGAAACCAGACCTCACATTATGATGTGCTTGTAGTTAAAATACAGATTCTTTCTCTCTTTATAAATAATATGATCATCGTAATTCGATATATGAATGAATGACATTATACTTAGTAAGACATCAGTCCATACGATCCACATTGGCATATCTGACACTGCTTCACCCTGTTCTGCCGTGCAAAGGCAAAAACAATTACGTTGCGTCAGAGGCCATTACGTCAGTTCAGGGGTCACCTGAACATAACTGCTCAGGTAATCGCTCGCCTTTGCACGGCAGAGTTTGCCCGCTTAGGAGACTGTCATGGTCGACGGTCGTGACACCTTCCTCTTCTGAGGCCCTCCCCCACTAGTCAGGAACCTCACCAACCCGCGATGGCACCTCACCAGTCATCACCCATCGTCTCCCAGCACTGCCAGGGGCTGTCCACTGAGTGCTCACCTGCCACCAGGAGATCCTCATAGGGAAATGGAGGCACCATGCCAGGCATCTCCTTGAGGCCGCGACCGCTGAGCCGCAGTTCTCCAGTCAGCTGACTTTCCTCCAGCACTTTGTCGGTGGTGCGAGCTGGCGGGCCGACTGCCATTGCAGGCGCCGGCCCAGCCGCTCTGTGGGTGCAGCCCAGGGGGGTCGGTCACAATAGGACTGGACCAATCAATTCACAGCATCAAATAGTTAGCTGAGGCAGAAGGACTAGTCATAGTCGACTGATGAAAATAGGGAGGGCGAGTGAGGGGAGAGAGAGGTTGGAAAGGGGAGAAAAGGTGAGGCAATAAGACAGAATGATAAAAACATGATATGCATTTCAATTTGGAGATGGTCAGAAATTGTTTTTTTTTTCAAATTATTTTATGACTGGAATCAGAGTGCTGTTTGGTGTTGTTTTTATCAGCATACTGCTGGTTTTAACACATAGGTATGAAACTTAAAAAGATCCCTGCTGGGATTTCTTGGTTTCTCATTGGCGAAACTCACAGCCGTCAGTCCACAGATCATGCGATTCTTTCATCTTCTTTTATTTTTGGAAATTTTGTCTGAATGTATGAATTGGTCTGGGTGCCACGCTATGCAACGCTTGTTGTAAATGACACCAGGCTCACCATCCCACCTTGCCTGCACCTGTTTCACTCGTGATCATCAATGTTGAGTTCCGCCGGGTTGGGGGTGACCGAGCTCTCCAAATTCCCGCTGGCTTGTCTTTGGAGCCCCAACAGACGGCGCGGGTCAAGGTCACCGCTAGGGCGGCGGCGGATTTGCTACGCCTAACCAAACACCTAACCAAACATTTACACGATCGTTTCCAAATAATTATTTGCATAGCAATAGCCAAAAGAGAAGTGGGCCATACTGAAAAAATACACGTTATGCCGAATTGTCCGGCGTAGTGACGGGAAGGAATGCGCCGAAAATTTCAGCGCACTTCCGGCGCAACTTCGCATGCGCCGAATTCAGTGCATGGCGGCGGCCGAATTTTTCGGCGCAGGGCGGCCGCAGGATTTTTTGGCGAAAGACCGTCACCGAACTATGAAGACCGAACTTAGTCGGCACGCTGGTCAATCTAGAAGCAGATTCGCCCTACGGGCGGCTCTGGAGAGGTTTCAGAACGATACATACCCGCCCCAGTCGTCGCGTGCTCGAACTGGCGAGCCGCCCTGAGCTCACCGGAGGAGCGGCCGCCCAGGTGAGGCCTCAACCCTCGGCGTGGAGATAGGTATGGAAGACCTTGTTGAACATCGCCGAGCGTCTTTAAGCAATACTGCAGTAGGTTCCTGCCCACTGCGGTATCGAGGGGAATGAGAGCGTGGATGACCTGGCGAAACAAGCGGTCGCTCTGCCCTCAAACGCTCGCTCGCTGACCAGGGTGGTTCATTGTGCGGCCCTGCATCAATGGCGCGACAACTGGTCCGAGTCAAGGCCCTATATACCGTCCGAGTCCCTATAAGCCACTCCTAGGGAGCACGCCGCCGCTCCCTATCTCCGGATAAGACCGAGAGGACGCCGTTTTGGTGCACCAGATGAGGGCGGGTCACTGGGGTCGCTCGCTCCAGTACGTACGCCGAATCGGCTGTCTCCCTTCTGCGACGTGCCAGCAGTGCCCATACAAGCGGTGCCCTGCGGCGATCTGTGCAGTGTGCGTGCCAAGAAGAGGCTGATGTGCCTGAGCACGTGCTGCTCTGCTGCCCACCCCTCACTGGCTCCTGCCAGCCTCAAACACACCGCTCTAACGATTTGTGTGACCCCAGGGCTTCCAGCCCCAACCTTTTTTTTTATAAATTTAGTCTGAACCTTTTTGATAGGAAGGATTCACAAGGACAGAGCCACCGCTAAGCGAAGCTTGTTGTGGTGACCCTGCCCTCTACCCTCCAATCGCGCAATTCCAGTTCTATGGCAGAATTTAGAGCCCAAGGTTTAACGTGCGCACGGCCGGTCCCCTCACTGACTTCGCCCGGCTACGGCCTGCCACCAACCGCAACCATACCTGTCAGAAGGCACATAAATGTCAAGCGCCCATCGCGCTAGGAACCAGGACTGTTGTAACCGGGAACGAGTGCTCTCACACCGCAGAGTCCAATGCTCTACCAACTGAGCTACGGGACAGGCTGCGGGATGCCTTGCTTCACGGCGCAACGTGCACAGAGCGTATTGAGGTATTAGGTTTCAGAGGAAATACAAACTTATTCAGACACTATCATTTAGAAAAGCATCCATGCCCCCCCCCCCCCCAGAATGCTTTGTCTGGTTGATATAGCCTTGATCAGTCAATGTGTACACGTGCTTTGTACAAAAGCGACTTAATTTTGGCACAACTAGGCATCCAATTTTTTTACACAAACCATGCAGGAACTTCAGGACAAAATTGCCCACATCTCAGGCATCCGGCAAAGTGCATGGATGTTTTCCATTCTGGGCAGTCGGAAGTGGGTTCCAAATGCAAAAAAAACGCTATTCTGTTAAGTACAAGTCTGCATTTTTTACTTTCAACTTAAGTCCCTCACCTGGTTCACTCACCTGGTGGGGTTCCCAATCTCACGTCTGCAGACAGGAAGGAGTAGGCAGGGATACAGTAGGAACCCGCAGACACAAGGCGCACCAGCAGTTGCTACTACCGGAGTGGAGCGCCTGCACATATGTTTGCGCGAAAACAGGCATGGTTCAAGATGCAAACAAGAGTAGTTATGTTGTACATAATTGATGCAGGAGAAAGACAAAGTCAATGCTACTTTAAATGTGTCCATGGTACAGTGCATTTCGCAAGACGGAGAACAAAACAAGGCGGTTAGTGAAAGTCATACAGAGCGTCGCCTAGGGCTTCCGCCAGCAAACCCTTAAAGGTTTTGTAGTTAGGTTCCATTACGACGTGCTCCGGGAGGGAGTTCCATAGTCTCACACCGCGCACCGAGAATGACCTACGCCTGATATCAGTCTGCGAGCGGGAATGGAAAATCTTAAAGCAATGTCCGCGCATGCCTAACTGAGGAGGTAGAGTGAACAAGTCAGCGGGGGACAACGCACATTTGTCATGGAACACCTTCCAGTACTGAATCATATCAGCCCTTAGCAGTCTGCCTTGAATTGAATACAAGTTCAGCGATGAGAGCCGGGACCGATAATCCAGACTCGACAGGCCAGCGATATGCTTGGTCCAGCGACGCTGGACCGACTCCAGAGCGCGCAGGTCCCCCAGGTACCCAGTGTGCCACACACACGAGCAGTACTCGATAACTGGTCTTATGTGAGTACGGAAAAGTGTCAGCATAAAGTCCGGAGATCGGCACACCGTGCTCCTCAGGAGGTTTTGAGAAAGACCTGCGGCCTTGTGGGCAGTAGCGGATATGTGGTCGTGGAATTTGAGGCTCGAGTCCACCAGTACTCCGAGATCCGGATGGGAGGGGACAACTCGAATCGGGGAATTATCGATGTCATACACTGGAGGTGGAAGAGATTGAGATTGAGCCTTGCTCTGAAAACGTATGACCACACATTTGTCACGGTTCAGGCGAAGGTCCCATGACGAAGAAATACGGTGCAGGGCAGTGATGTCCTGTTGACAAAGCGAGGAGGCATGGTCATATGCGTCTGCTGAGCTGTGGGCAACTTTCATGTAAAGCTTCAGATCGTCAGCGAAAATCTTGTGACTAGATGCGAGACTGCTACCAATATGGTTAATAAAAACTAAAAACAAAATCGGACCAAGGACCGAGCCCTGTGGGACCCCACTGGACACGGGGCGAGTTTTGCTCAGAACACCTTTCACTGACACAGACAGAGATCGACCAATCAGAAAATCTTCAATCCAGTAGATGAGGGGCTCTGCAATGCCGATCATGCGAAGCTTGCGAAGAAGGATAGAGTGAGAGACAACATCAAATGCTTTGGCAAAGTCAAACATCACGAGGTCAGTAACACAGCCATCATCAAGCCATTTAGACACCTCGTCATATACAAGGATCAGCTGATCCTGAGTGGATCTCCCGGCTCTGAAACCGAATTGGTTATTTGTCAGCATAGAGTTCTCTTCCAGGTAGGTTGTAAGCTGCTGGCAGATCAGGCGCTCTAGACATTTGCAAGACACCGAAGTCAAGCTGATGGGACGATAGTTCAGGGGGTTATACCTCGAGCCCTTCTTGAATAAAGGAATTACGACGGATATCTTCCAAGAAGCAGGTAAGCGACGTTCTCTGAGTGACTGTCTGAAAATAACAAACAAGGGAAATGCTAGGCTGTTTGCACAAGCTCGTAAGAGCGATGGGTGAAGGTTGTCTGGGCCAGCAGCTGAGTGGGGGTCCAGTGATCGCAGCACTGCAAGAACCTCGTCAACAGAGAAGTCAACGGGTGGCATAACAGAGTCCGCTGTTTCGTGAGGGGACTGGTTAGGGTTGGGGGGACCGCGGCCGAAGACGCTCTCAAAGGCCTCAGCAAAGGCTTCAGCCATTGTAGCAGGGTCATCTGAAAGCGTGTCATTGCAAAGTCGTAAGGGACCAACGCCAGGGCAGCCTACCTTTTTACGCCTGAGATGTGCATGCAGAGCCTTAGGGTTAGAGGCAGACTCCTGGAGCAGTTTCTGTTCGTAGCACGCCTGGGACTCCAGGGCAAACCTTTTCAGAGAGCGATTGAGGGTGAAGAAAGTATCGAGTGCTGATATGGCCGCTGCAGATCGCCTGCCATGGGTAAATCTCATCTTTTTGTACGTCTCCCATGCGTGTCTCCTCCGGTGTCTGAGGCTGCCAGGGGGGTTTGTCCTCCATGGGGGACGGGTGTTGTCAGCAGAGGAAGTTCCTGTAGGGACAAAATCGTCGATAAGAGGCGACAGTCTGTCCAGGAAGCGGGTGTACATCTGGTTGACATCGCAGCCTGTAAATTCAGCGCTCCAGTCAATAACGTTCAGTTCGCGGGAGATGCGATCAAATTTCGCCCTGTGCCACTTCCTGGACTGAGTGCTAGATTGGGACGTTGGGGGTGAATAGTCAAACACATAGTTACAAAGCACCGGGCAGTGATCGCAGCCCGGCAGGGGCGGAAGTACCGAAGAAGTACCCATCCTGTCAGTTTCAGTTGTAAGCACAAGATCGAGTGTGCTTCCAGAGCGGGGGTAAGTGGGGACGCAGATCCATTGAGTTAATCCAAGCGACATGAAGGTGTCATAGAAATCAGTGTCACAGCCTGACGCGCGAGATGAGGGGCTGCTGGAATCCCACGCGAGGGACGGGAGATTGAAGTCCCCCATGAGCACGACTTCACGGTCTGCACAAAAAGAAATGAGAAAATCCAAGAGATGCTGATTGGCTTCAGGCTCCGACGACGGGGGGCGGTAGACTGCAACAATATGTACACTGAACTCTGGCAATACAATGGCAACAGTGTTAGGACAATCAGTTTCAATTTGTTCGAACTTCAAGCAATTTTTAACATAGATACAAACACCGTGCTTGGCAAAAGAGCCTTCAGTATCTTTTCTGACCACTCTGAAGCCAGGAATGTCGATAAATGAATCTGCCATAGAGCTGAGGAGATGAGATTCCGTTATACACATGATATGGACACTGTGACACAGTATAAAATCTTGCACCACCGGCAGCTTACGGACTAGCGAGTTCACATTAGACTGACTTATGTTAAGGACGAATGTGCTGCGGCTGTAGGAACTGGTAGTCAAAGCTACACGTTTGACTCAGGGTCAGGGACATCATTGTTGTTGGAGTTGTTAGGGTGGTCATCAGAGGGCGGGGCAGCAGGGCCGGGGGGTTGTCATCCTGGGTGTCCTGGTTCCCGTCCCTGACACGAGCTGGTTGAACACTCGTGTTGACAGCTGGTTCTGGTACTCTGCTCTCGCACCTAGAATCAGCAGTATGGTGAGGGTTGGAGGCAGTGCCAGTCTCAGTAGCAGCACGCTTAGCTCGGAGCTCCGATCTCTGTTTGTAAGTTAGATCTCTGTGAATAAAGACGGAGCCAAAACGGTCAGAGTCTTTCAGCTGCTTGGCCCTGTCGAGTATGAGCTTCCGGACATCATCATCACAAACTTTGCCTCTGTAAAGGTCAGTTTCCGAGGGGATTCGGACTACATCAGTCAGAGAAACTTTCTGGTGAATGAGGAAATCAGTCACCTGTTCGAAAGCCTGTACAGCAGCATTAGCTGAGCGGGCCCCCAGGCCTCGAATGACCAGGGAAGACCTGCGCTTTTGCTGCTCCTGCAGCTCACGCAGCTCCTCTCGAACAATTTTCCTGTACTCAGATGAGGCTGAGGCGGGAGGGACATCAGGGTTAGCTGGTGGTCTGGGGACTTCACGTTGGGCAGCACCGGGAGTGGCAGCAGCGTCAGGCACTGGTGGGTTGGAGGCAGACAGGCTAGGCCAGGACGGATCCGGTGGAGGCCCGGCACGTATCAGGCCAATCTCCGCCTTCAACTGCTGCACGACAGAGCTCATTCCATGTAACTGTTGGGACAGATGTTTGACCAGTTCAACCAGCTGAGTCTCAGTACTGTTCGCGTGAGAGCCCCCATGCCAGGCAGTGAGACTAAAATCAAGTCTACATTTGGTGCATATGTACATGATGCCAGCTCCTTCATACTTTTCAATAGCCTGTATCATATCACACGAGAGACCGCAGCACATCTCAGTGCAGTGAACCCAGGCCTGGCATCCATCACATCCAATAGAGCTACCTTCAACATCCTTGCCACATGTTCCGCATAACTGCTCATCAGGGACCTTAGCTTTAGCACTGCGTCCTCTGCGGGTGCCAGCCGCCGAAGCAGCAGTCACAGCAGAAGGGCTCGCTGCAGCATCAGGTGCAACAGAGGACATTTCCGCAGCAGGCGATGGAGCACCAGCACCACCCGCCACGCCCACCACCCCGCCCGCCACGCCCACCACGCACGCCACGCGACATTCCGACACAGTTAGCAGCCACCACACAAGCAAGCAACACTCAGGGGCGAAGAAAAAGTGGAAAGACCGGAAAGACTGGGCAAGAACACACAGAGCCGTGGGATGGGCTGGGAAATGCAGGCGGGGGAGCAGACTAGCAGAGACAGTTGGTACTACCCAGCAGGCTTTGGCGGCGTGATGTGCAGCAGCAGGCAGCTTAGGCGGGAATGCTCTCTTCATTCGTCATGCTTGATTATCACATGCAGGATAAGCAAATCCAACCAGCAAGATCACCAAAGCCAGTCCACCGTCTTAACTTGTAAATAAGAGCTAAATTTATCATCATAATTGGTCAAATAGATATATTGATGTAGGCAATCAAAGTTGACTTCATTTTAGCATTAATTTCAACACAGCATCAAGCGGCACTTATTTGGCTCACCTGTTGTGGGCAGGCTTCTTGAACAGTTTTCAGTCTATAGCGTAACATGTAAATATTTCACTCAATCCGATTTTCTCACGCTATAAGCGCTACTTCAAAATCATATCATATATGATACAGTCGGGAGTCGGGGAGTGAGAGAGGGCTGGGCGGCTGCGTCACAGGTGCGCGAAAAAATGCCGCAGACATTAAATGTTTACCCCAGAAAGCGGCCACTAATTTAAAAACGACATAAAGGATGTACCGCCTTGGATGCATCCTTCTATAGCCTCAGAGTTTTATAGCCTCTGATGTATCATTCATCACCGCCCCGAGGACAGCCATTTCGATGCAAGCTCTGATGAACAGGAGCCCATGGACATTTTGCTCCACGGTAGATAAAAATACCTACTGTTTGCTCCAGTTCTACCATTCCGGAATACCATTTTTGACGGAGGAATGCATTCGCTGCATTTTTTGATGAAACAACCAAGAACTAGTGTTCCGTCCATCAACTTCCCAGACCCAGTTACTACGGTTACTGCCTCAGAGCAACCTGACCTAGCAACAATTCCTCGGATATTTTTGTGACAGCGTAAGAGCGGATAGCATTCCCAAACGGATTATCCGAGCACTAGCTGGTTCCTCTCATGCCACTAGCCCTCGACCGGAGACCCAGTCTGTCGAAGCGGGCAACCACGCGTCCAAGCCGGAAGTGACCGGCGGAAGCAGTGGCCGATGCCTACCATCTCGGTATTTGAGACTCCCTGTCTTGTGTTTAGCTGGTTGCTCGCTCCTCGCTGTCTCGCTGGATTTAGTTGGTGGTTGCTGTCTCGGCGAGTTCAGCTGGCCTGGCCGCTCGCGCCTCGCTGCCTAGTGCCTACGCGTTTTGGTGCTGAGTGCTGAGTGATAATTTAGTTGCGTATCGGTAGGACCTTTCTGCAGTTGTGATGGACCAGGCAACAGACTAATGTCTACGAAGAAACGCGCATGTCAACCTTTAACACGCGCACTGTAGCGGGTCTGAGCCGAACACGAACTGCAGGGGGGGGGGGGGGGGGTTGAAAACAACCCCCCCCCCTGAGATCTCAAAAACGGCGCAACGTAGCGACAAGCGGTTAACGGCGTTGGATAGGTCGGGATGTTATCTAGAGGAAATACTAAGGTCATTTTTGTCCTAGGTCAAAAACGAGGTCACCAGAGGTCACCGAAGACAAAATGTTACGATTTTCACAACGGGAATTTCGCGGTAGTTTTTCTTGAATAACTCGTTACACAGAAGAGATAGAGAGTTGATTCGAACGCCATCGTTCTTAGCTCGTCAAGGCGCATCGAATGATATATAATATGACCTCGAAAGGTCAAGTTGAAAATTTGACCTCAGGTCAAGGTCATGACCTGACCGAAATAGGTCATGTTGCATATCATTCGATCCGCATTGACGAGACAAACACGATAAACGTCGAACGGAGTCTCTATCTCTATTCAATCTCAAGTTATTGAAGAAAAACCGTTGGTGACCTCAGGTGACCTCAGATGACCTGGAGGTCACCTTCCAAAGGTCACAAGTGATATGTTTCGGCGAAATCACCAACAGGGACCTGTAATACTATGATCCTGAGCATATTGAAGTCATAGGATGGCATTCAGAGTAAGTTGAAATTTCTCCCATTGACTTATAATGGGCCGGTCGCAAAAATGACCTGACCTTAGGTCATCGATATAAAAATTCCGAGATATACAAATTGTAGCTCGTGATGCCCTTACTACTTCCTGCGGGTTTCAAGATCCTATCTCAACAACTGTGGGCTTGGTGGGATTGCAAACTTCGAAATTTACGTTCTGAGGTAGGGTCACTTGACCTGACCTGGTGACCTGACCATAGGTCACCTGGGGTCAAAATTTTCACTCAAGGTGCGCAACAGTTGGGAGAACAGGTATGCAAAATTTGGCGGCGCTGCGCGCCGCCGTTTTCTTGCGATCTGCGAAAAACCACAGGGGGGGGGGGTTGAAAACAACCCCCCCCCTGCAGTGCGCGTGTTACTTGGCAGCTTGCGTTATTTTTCAGTCGAGGATGGAGGAACAAGTTGCAAAAATCGTGTTCTAGCGGACTCTGGAGACTGAGAGAAGTAAAAACGAAGTTCCGGTCCAGGGGAACCGCGACGAGTAGTAAAGTTATCTTGACCGCGACCACCTTCAGATATACTCATGGCAGTGCTCGGGGCCATTATCACAATGTGACCAGCATTTAGGTGAACATCAAACTTCCAAGCCCTTTTCTATCTACCAGCTACAAAGGCACGAGCTGAAATTTGCCTTCCGGAACATCGAATGAACTCCCCGATGCATGGGCCTACCTTGGCCAACGACCAAGCGCACGGCATCTGGCCGAAACCGTTCGAATTCTGCAAACCACTACCAGTGTCCAGTTGTAATTGCGATTTCAGGCTATACAAAAACATATCACTGTTAACTGCTTAATTCGTAGGCCTTTTACCCCCCCCCCCCCCCACTATCCATCGCCAAAGGGTAAAAGGCGCACGCCCGACGATCACCTCACAGACTGTTTCCTGCAAGGTTGAGGTGAGTGATGAATTGCGCATATTGCTAATTGTAAGTTCCACACGGAACCAGGGCCCAATCTTACCAATGCCGTGGATAGGATTTGGCAGCACTGGCCGGAGCTTACGGCACTGATATCAATGATATCTTTTTTATTTACATCCAGCTAATCTTGTCCAATGATTTTGATAGCGTGAACGATTATGAATGTTGTCTGAAAGAATGAATAAGTGAATGCGGAATAGTTCTGAATGTTACCAAATGCCGTGAAATGCGCATTCACGGCATTGGTAAGATTGGGCCCTGAATCCATGCCCAGTCTTTCGAACCTTATCTGATCAAACACATGATGATGGACGAGATCGTTTTGAACGCTCAAAAGTAAAAACAAACAATCAGGTTTTTCTTTTTTTTATTTGCGCGAGGCCGACATACAGAGGAATCTTAGAACTTCAGCTTCTGGAAGAACCACTTGTTCTTTCCCGTCTTGTACCTGCAAAGAAAATAAAAGTATTTAAGCACAGAGTAAAACCGGCACGACACTTTAAAATACTGGGGGGGGGGGGGGGGGCGGCGGGAGCACAACACATCCCCATGAAAATGTCATGACTTATCCCATAGGATCACCTGCATAGATCGAATTTGTTATATTTCGGTGTCAAAGAAAAAATAATAAAACTAAGGGTCAACTACAAACAGTGGTAGGGACATACAAATAAAGTGACAGCATACGGTATAAATTATTACGGCTATCGTCATAAATTTGCATTACCGCGTTATCCAGCAAAAAGAAACAACGAAATCGTACATTGTGAAAAGCGATAATGTGAACACATATATTGCACGAACCGGTTTCGATTACTTCATCAGTGTGCAAATATATAAATAAAACACACAAAATAAAGTAATATCACAAAATGAAGTAATGAAGTAGTAATAGTGTGTTTTATTTATACATGTATTTGCACACTGATAAAGTAATATCGAAACCGGTTTGTGCAATATAACTATGTGTTCACATTATCGCTTTTCACAAACGTCCAACTGTCATACCACAAATCGTACATTGTTGGGTAGTACAGTGAGCTCGGCACTGCGTATGGAATGGATGTAAATTAACCCGCGCCGGAAAGAGCGATGTTGGAACCCCCCACCAATGCAGCTTTCCGCAAATGCATCAAAAACGACGGCGCTCCTTTTCCTGCACATTTGAAAATTTCAGAACCTCAAAAGGTTTTCGTCCTCATCACAGATAGACGCCGAGCTGATTACTTTGAAACATTCAGTGATGGAAAGAGTGACTGGATGTACAAAACGCATCTTTTGGACAATTATAAACACCATACAACATCGTGTATCAAGATAATATTGCATAATGAACCGGAAAAGAGGCACCTATGACCCCGACCTTTGACACCTTTGGTCATCTTACGTACAGGACGCTGATAATATAAACGTAACACATGCTAAGCGTCAAGGGTTATTGCAACATTTCCGTAAAAAACGTGAATTTGCCCTGGATTCGGAGTCTCCCGGACGACGAAGATTCTACGTCGTCCGGCCAATGCCGTTCACGGTCGGCGGGGGCTGGGCTGCGGTTATCGAACGGGATTGGCCGGACAACTTAAAATGTTCTTAGTCCGCGGACTGCGAATACGCCCTTAGTGTTAATCTGTCGTCTAGAGGCTAAACCGTTGACCCTGGGTCAAATCTGAGAGCAAAACATAGAAAGAGCTTTGAAAGAGCTATCGAATTATTCGAATGCGCTTTCCGCCGCGCTGTAGCTCTACTGGCTCCCGAGTTATGCGTCGATTGGTGAGTGTTAAAAAAGGGCGACATTTGACCTCTGTCGGCGCCCCGATCTTTGACCTGACTCACAATTAACTTAAGCACGTTTGTAATTAATTTTACGGTCTTTCTAAAGAGGCTTAGCGCGTGTCTTAAAGTGGCCCAGAAGGCCAGTCAGCCTGGGGGCATTCAAATAGCCCCCAACCTCCCCCCCCCCCCCGGGACGACGGTGGCGCCGAGCACCGGCCCGAGGTGTTATATTAGCGCCAAAATCAGATCCGAGGGTCGATTGCGTGAATGCGGATCACAATAAAACAATCATCACGGACAACATTAAATTTGTACTTGGATTACCTCTGTTGAAACTTTATCAATGTGGAATAAATATGCATCGTACCTCTCCTCGAGGGCCTGCTTGACGTGCAGCTTGGCCTTCCTCCGCTTGACGGGGTTCTTGATGGTCTCCTTGTTCACCTTCTCCTTCTCGAAGCCGATGTCCACGGTGTAGCGGGTCGGCATCATGTGGTTCAGGTTCACAACCTGGCGACAGAGGCGCGGCGGCGTTAGAAATGAGGTCAGCCGACGCACTGCGGATGCTGAGTGGAGCGCTAGCCAGTTCTCTGGACCGATACACACACTTTTTGGACCGGAACAGCACACTCAATGGATGTGAACATAGCCAGAAGGAGGTTGGCGCGGCTCTGATCAAGAGCACGCCGCACAGACATCCGCACACCGCGGAGTCGGAGTTGAAGCACACAACTCATGCCAATGCACGTTCGCTGAAAAATATTACATTCATTGGCCTTTACAAGACATACTTTGTTGAAGGTTAAGATATACTCCCGTTTTGGAACGGCGTTTTGAGCGTGCACAGCAGAAGATGGCGGCCACTCAAGCACCTTTCAAAGTCAGTATAACATATGAAAAGTAGGTATGTTTGCAATGTAAGGCAATGGAATATGGGCAGTAAGGTATTGTTTCTGGCAAGACAAATCGCCTCACATGAACTTGACTATCATGACGCAGACTCTTAGACAGATGTCCAGACTCCAGGCAGCCAGGGTTTGACCTGAAGTCTGGGACTAAGTCAATTTTTGAAAGTCAGAGTCAGGGTCATTAAAAATACATCAGTCCTGGTACACACAACCGTAATCATACAGGTATGAGGTAGCGATGTTAAATGAATCACAATCTATCAGCCAGGCTGGAATAAATGCATAAAAAATTTGCTATGAAGGAAAAAAAGAGCACCATAGCAGTAACAATCAGCTCAGAAGCTGTTTGAACCAATTATTAAACACTGTTAAACTTGCATGTGGCTGTAATATGTGAACATAAAATACAGTTTACACTTCTGGAAAGGAAGTCAGCAGTGGTGCATTAGGCAATACCTAACAAATATATAGTGTTATAATTCTAAATTATCTTTCAGTATGGCCACCATACCTCTAGATCATTTGAAGTCCATAACTACAGTCAGCTGTATATATTTAACTTATCAGTAGGCATAAAATACCACCAATTACTTAACCTAGCCAAACATCAGCTGGATAATTCAGTCACATTCAGTTGGCTGGGGAGCAAGGTTCTACTACTCAGCATAGCTTCTAAACTAGAACACAAGAGTAACCCATAACCATCATGTCTAAACCTGAGATCCCTTGATCACACAGGGAAATGATTCTGCTGAGTTCAGTAAGTGTCTGTGGGCCATATATTTGGGGGAAGGCTGTCATTGTTAACCCATATTGGGGTTCACAACAATGTAAGGTCAGAATAGATCAACAAATGGCCAAAGAATCAACTTTTTACACATGAAAGACAACCTGGTAATGATGGCAAAAAAAGAACATGACAAGGTTGTACAAGTACTTGTTGAACTCTCCAGGTGCCCCAGATATTGCAACTGCTAGGGTTCAGACCGGCATAACAATCAGTCAAACTCTGAGACTCTTTTGACAAGTACATGTCCTGATTTTTCAATTTCATAAGTCACTCTACCAGTCTACCATGTTAAAGTAAAGTCCATTACAACATCATGAACATTATCAAAGAATAATGGTCAGTGTAGCAATACACTCAATTTGAAGATGTATCAACCTTTTTATCTTGGGAGTTACAAACTCATTCATCATTCCTATCAGTTAACTCTTAATAAACATGGAATTGGACGCTCACCAAGTTCAGACAATGCATTACTGGATATGACAAGAGACCAAAAAACTCAATGGGCAAAAGGCTCCAAATCCAACAGAGCAAAACAAAATTGGAGTGTAAGTTGCTACACTATGCCAAGAGAACAATGGACATTTATTACACAAATTTTGATGAAGCACCATAAATGTGAGGGAGCCTAGATGATTAAGTAGGTGCCTACAATCAGGGTTAGTACTGAGTACACAGGTACCTACAATCATTACCAGAAAGCTAGGCCTCAAACAATGCTTAAGTCCAAAAGATAATTAAAAGGCATGCCTACTTTTAGTACTTACCCTCACAAAAGGCTTCATGCGCGTCCGGCGAGCAATCTTCTTCTTGCTCATTCCCTTCCTGACCTGGCGAGGATATCTGTCGATGCCAGCCACAAGGCAGTGTCCATAGGGCCTGTCAGTGGTGCCTTCATCGTTGCTCTTGACAATGATTCCCTTGCGACCAGCAAAGCGGCCACTCAGCAAAATCACCACCTTCCCACCTTTCATAATCTTCCCCATGGTTCTGAAAAAGAGCATGTAACCATTAGCAACAGTGCCTGATAATGCAAGTAGCTTCTGCAAGCCAGAAATTGATCAGTGGCCAATTTTACCAACAGAAAAATAGCTGCCTGCCTGAATTTCTTGCCTAAAAACCGCTTCACGTACGGAATGCAAATGCGATGGGCGCATAAGCGCGTAAGGCTTTTCCATTTTCGCTCTGTATGTGAAGCAGTCTTTAGTCAAAAATTCCAGCAGGTGGCTCTATTCTGTTGGTAAAACTGGCATCAGCACTAAATAACAAAATCTTCATGGCATTCTTTAGAATCAACTAAGTCCACCACGTATGTCTCAAAAGCGCATGAAGCGCAAATGTAAATCGAAAGTAACGACGCAAGTCCATAGCTCGCTAAAAACCCTCAAAAAGATCGATAAAGAAAGCATATCATGCTAGAACCAACGCAAAATTATATTATCCTAATTAGAAAGCCGAATATTTGAACATTTTATGATTTGTACTCACGTCGGCAATTGTTGTTACCGGAAAAAGGACGTTGCCACGTCTCAAAAACACTTTCAAAAGCACAAAGCCACCTGTGCTATGACCTGAGCTTGTAAAATGCAAAGCTATTAATGGCTAAGTTAAGATGAATTTTCGGCCGTTTTTAATGAAATTATTGTAGTCAATTCTTATTTAATTGCAGAAAAATTTTCCATAATCTCATTTTACCTAAGGTAAAATGAGAACCATTTTACCTATTTCTGCCCATTTTCTTCCTCCCAAAGTTCCCTTTTTCTGAAACGCTTTATGTTTTTATTACGTCATTAGATTCATTGGAAAATTTATAGAAAAAAACGTTTCGCAGGTGAACGAACAGAACAATAACTTTTTATTTCAGTCCTTTTCTGCCCATAAAAATCGTAGAAGTGTAGCGGGACGGTTTGAAACCGCATTTATTGAAGAAACAGTCGAAATATTTAAAAAAAAGGAAGAGCTGATTGGCTTTCGGTATCTGTCGTCAAAAGATAAGGATTTGAGCAGCATGTTTCGTTTTTACTATACCTTGAGAGGAGGTCTAATGAATTGATAAATTGAATTTTACACGCACTTGTGTTAAAATTTTGAATTGAATTTCACGTGCTTGCCGATCGCTGGCATTGGATTAGGGTCTGCAGCTGGAATTCACTGGAATTATTGGTATTTCAGTAAGTTGAGTCATATATGCCCTTAAATTAATTAAGTTCCTCCGAACTGACGTTAAATTTACACATTTTTTCTGAAAATAAAACATTACAGATGTCGCTTTGAAGAAAATTCAAGATGACAAGAAGTCATATGCTGAAACTGTCAAAGGAAGTTGTGATGTCATGCAAGAGGTTGCAAGGAAGATCGAAGCAATCCCTCTCCGTGATAAAGACCAGGGAGGCCGTCATACTGAGACAGCCATAGCGGGAGTCTTCGACAACTTCCTGGATAAGGAAAAGCGAAAGCTGAACGTTGTTGTACACAACATCCCTGGGCCTCAAGGTGAGAGCTTCTCTGAGAGAGTGGAGCAGGATAAAGCCACATTTAAGGAGATCATCAAGGAAGGGCTGAGACTCAATATTAATGTGACAAAGGCTTACAGAGTTGGAAAGGTCGGTCAGGAGAGGCCAAGACTGATGATAGTTGGTCTGAAGAATGCTGAAGTTAAGATAGAAGTGCTGAAGATGGCCCCACAGCTCAGTTCAACAGAGAGATGGCAAAATGTGTACATCACTCCAGACCTTACTTGGAAAGACCGTGAAGAAGGCAGGAAGCTGAGGGAAGAACTGAGAAGACGCACGGATGCAGGGGAGGGAAACCTCATCATTAAGTGAGGTCGCATTGTGAAACGGACCAGAAATGAAGATGAAAACCTGACAGCAGCCCCAGCTCGGCAGCAAATTCAAGCCAGTGGGAGCCAGTCGGCTGCCCATGCAAGAACATCTGGTCCCCAGCAGAAAAGCGTCAGCTGCAGCGGGGAGACGGTGTCCCACCGGATGCGGTGAGGCAGTATTGACAGTCTAGCACAGCGAAGAATGCAACAGGTTTTAAGGTGCTTTATACAAACGCTGATCAATTCATTAGTAAAAGAGACGATCTTTGCATGCTCCTTGCAGGTAATGAGCCCAACTTTATGTTAGTTAATGAGGTAATGCCGGAAGCCCAGCTCCACCCTATCTCTCCATCTCTCTTAACCATCCCAGGCTACAACATGTATGTGAACTTTGACCCCTCTGCATGTAACCTTGGCAACAGTGGTCAGAGAGGGATATGTATCTATGCGAGGACAAATCTGCATGTGTCAGAGGTCACCTTCAACATGTCATCCCCCAAGGACCAGCTCTGGATTGAGATGCCTTTGTATGGCCAGGACAGCCTACTGCTAGGTTGCATTTACCGCAGTCCTTCTGGAACGGCAGAGCAAGATGTTGTAGAGATTGGTGAACTGCTAAAGACAGCATGCAGGTCTTCTCACTCGCATGTAGTCATAACCGGTGATTTCAACCTGCCACAAATTGACTGGGATCTTGGCGCTTCCACTGCCCCACCTGCACATTGCTCCCACAACTTTGTTGACATAGTGAATGACTGCTTCCTGCACCAACATGTCACTCAACCAACGAGGTTTAGACTGGGTGAAACACCACACACATTGGACCTGGTCCTGTCAAATGAGGAGGGGATGATCCAAGGCCTACAGTCCCTCCCTGGACTAGGATCAAGCGACCATGTTGTCCTCAAATTCAAGCTGAACTGCTACTCGGAAGTAGTAGAACCAGCTGAACCTCGTTACAACCTGAACAAAGGGAACTATCGTCTCATGAATGCTCGACTGTCTTCAATTAACTGGGCACTCACGACAGAACTCGAGACCGAAGCATTGTACAATGTCATCAAAGACACGCTTCTGTCTCTGGCCTCCAATTGCATACCCCTCGCCAAACCAAGGTCAACGAACAAGAGCCTGTATGTTAACCAGGAGGCCCTGCGGCTCAAGAAACACAAGCGCGCTATGTGGTTCCAGTATGTGCGCACAAGAGACCCACTGGACTATGCACGCTTCACCCGCGCTCGGAATAAGCTCCGCACCCCTACCCGAAACCTCAGAGCAGATTTTGAGAAGAGGCTTGTCTTAGATAGTATCCGAGAAAACCCCAAGGGATTCTGGCGTTACACTGGCTCACGATTGCGCACCAAAATAAGAGTTGAAGACCTCAAAAACGACGATGGGACGATGGCACGGAAAGACAGTGAGAAAGCGAACCTGCTCAACCATTGTTTCCAGAGTGTTTTCACCACTGAGTCAACTGTCTTGCCCACGGTGACTGCCTCCTATGGGGGTACCCGTCTGGAAGACGTGGACATCAGCTCTGCATCGGTGAAGCGGAAGCTCCTCAAACTCAACGTGGACAGTGCTCCGGGCCCAGACGGACTACACCCCAGGGTTCTCCGAGAGACGGCTGAAGCGATGGCGGAGACATGGACGAGGCTGTTTTGTTCCTCCGTGGACTCGAGCCACCTCCCAAGGGACTGGCGCGTGGACGAGATCGTCCCAATCTTCAAAAAGGGCCTCAGGACGTGTCCCCTTAACTACATACCGGTCACCCTCACATCAGTCCCCTGTAAAGTGCTGGAATCACTGATTCGCGACCAGCTGATGGAGCATCTCACCCGTTAGCATCTCAAGCTAACGGTAGCGGCCGGGAAGGTATGCAGCAGCACCCGGGCCGAACTCGTGGCCATCCTCGAGGCGCTGGCCGAGGCCGCGGGCGATCTGCCTGACCGGCCGAGTATGCTCCTCCTCTGCTGCGACTCGCGCGCAGCCATCCAGTCGCTACAAGACACGGCGGACTCCCAGTCGGCTCTGGTAGCGGAGATCAGGGACCTGCTAGACACCATCACTCGTTCAGGCCACAGGCTCCACTTGCAGTGGGTGCCCGGCCACGCGGGCCTGCCGGAGAACGAGGAGGCGGACCGTCTGGCAGCGATCGGGAGCTCGCGCAGACAGGACCAGATCCCCGTGGACCTGTGGTCGGCGAGAGCCGCGGTGGCCCGCCGGGCGCGGGCGATGTGTGATGCGCGCGCCAGACGCAGCCACCCGCACCCTGACCCGACGCCCGGGCACGACGGACTGGACCGCCGAGCGTCGGTGACCGTGGCGCAGCTCCGGGTGGGATGTTCGCCCCTGACAGGAGACACCCGGCACCGACTCGGACTGGCCGAGTCCGACGCGTGCGTCGACTGCGGCGAGCCGGACTCGGTCCCGCACCTGCTGATGGACTGCCCCGCACACCAGGGGCCTCGGACCCGCCGGTGGGGGCCCCTGCCGACGCTGGGGGAGATATTCTCCACCGAAGCTGACCTCATCGTAGACTTCCTGGTGGAGACGGGCCGGGCCCCGCGGGACCCGGCCTAAGCTGGCAAGGAAGAAGAAGAAGAAGAAGCATATAACCCGGACGGGGCAGTTGAGTGGCGCGCAGCACGGATTCAGACCCAGGAGATCCTGTTGTACCCAACTGCTTGAGACTCTCGAGGAGTGGACCAGTGGACTGGAAAGAGGTGAGGCAATCGATGCCATCTACCTCGACTTCAGCAAAGCCTTTAACTCTGTTCCACACCAGCGCCTGCTTCTGAAGCTGCGGGCCTGCGGCGTTGATGGCAAGCTTCTGAACTGGTTGCAGGCGTTCCTCACGGGGAGGCAACAGAGGGTTCGGGTGAACAACTCAAGGTCGGAATGGGCCGCTGTGACCAGCGGGGTGCCACAGGGAACTGTCTTGGGGCCGCTGCTATTTGTCGTGTACGTCAACGATCTGCCCGGTGAAGTCGCGTCCTCAATCAAGATGTTCGCAAACGACACGAAAATTTACAGGAGTGTCAGCCGGGCATCAGACGTTCTCACCCTCCAAGCTGACCTAGATACACTCGTTGAATGGTCGGAACGCTGGCAGCTGCCCTTCAACCGAACAAAGTGCAAGTCACTGCATCTGGGCTCCCACAATGGAAACTACGTCTACCACATGGGCGACACGCAGCTGGACCAGACCTCGGTAGAGAAGGACCTCGGAATCCACGTCGACCACCAACTCAAGTTCCGTGAGCAGGCAGCCGCGGCGATTTCGAAAGCATCGCGCATCCTGTCCGTGATCCGGCGAAGCTTCGCCCTCCTAGACGAGAACACTCTGCCTCTGCTGTTCCGAACGATGGTGCGACCTCACCTGGAATACGCGAACTCCATCTGGGGACCTTTCAATCGGGAGGACCAGAGGCGCGTTGAAAAGGTCCAGAGGAGAGCTACGAAGCTGGTTGCCGCCATCCGAAATCAGCCATACGAGGAGAGGCTCCGGATTCTCGACCTGCCGTCTCTATACCATCGCCGACGCCGGGGCGACATGATAACTGTCTACCAGGTGCTCAGACAGGGGATTGACCTCGAGGCAGAGAGATTCTTTGCGGCGGCAGCGACAGGCAACACCCGCGGACACCAATGGAAGCTGTCGAAACCGAGGGCCGTATCCCGAGTGCGTCGAAATGTCTTCTCCGTCCGAGTCATCAACGATTGGAACGGACTCCCGCCATCACTTGTCGATCCCCCCAGCCTAAACGCCTTCAAAGCCAGACTGGACAAACACTGGGCACATTTGAAACACACAACTCACCTTAACGACTGAGTCAGGACACTGAGTCAGTAAGGAGCTCGATAGGACCGGATCCTTGAGGCCAAGTGGCCTTTCAAAATTCCGAACTTTATAAGTATAAGTAAGTAAGTATTACCTTCCTTGAGTTCACACTTCACTGCTTATAAGTGACGTTGATGATGATGGTTTGACTGTTTCCTGCCTCTCCTCATGCACTGGTAATGAAGGAAACCCAACAGGTGAGTTGAACAGGTTGAGGTGAGTTAATGGAAATCAAAATGCCTATCAGAACAGAGCTGCAGTCCTTTGGATTCAGATTTCGGAGTCTGTCTGAGTCGACATTTTGGCGGCACTTCTGAATCTGACTTTGTCCTGCTGGGACAGGCCGAGTCCCATTGTGTCCCGCTGGGACCGGCTGAGTCCCACTTTGTCCCGCTGGGACCGGCCGAGTCCCATCATTGTGTCACCAGCGGAGTCCCACTTTGTTTCGCTGGGACCGGCTGAGTCCCACTTTGTCCCGCTGCAGTCGGCTGAGTCCCACTTTGCCCCGCTGGGACCGGTCGAGTCCCATTGTGTCCCGCTGGGACCAACCGAGTCCCACTATCTCCCGCTGTTTTCGGCTGAGTCCCACTATGTTCCGTTGAAGTCGGGCAATCCTTTGTGTGACGTCTGCTCTACTAATACCCACAATGTTTTGTGTTGTGTGTGCAGTTTATGTCGTAAGATTTCCTGTGGTCGCTTTCGAGCAGCTGTGGGAGCAGCAGGAAGTGTGAGGTCATACCCAGAATGCAGCTCTTGCCTGATTGGCTGCCAATGAAGCCCAGCTTTCTTTACCACCGAAGCCATGACGCCCGCAGACACTGGAACAGGGCCCTGGAGTCTGAGTTGGAGCCACAGAAAATCCATCAACTCCATGGGCCTGCCATGGGTGTAGAGCTTGAGTCGGTTGAAGTTGACAGTTTCATTGCTTTAACCTTGCACAGCAGCAAAGCTGGAGTTGATTTTTGTTTTCAGGCTTGAGTTGGAGTTGGAGTCTGAGTCACCAAAAAATCCATTGAGTATGTAGCAATGACCAGAGGAGCAAATTCCACCACTGACTGACAGATTGTTGGTTGACAATTGGGATATGGCTGCTATGAGTTTGGGAGAGTAGGGAATACAGGGCAACAGCCCAATCCTGATGAATTTGAACAGTATCAGTTACAGTGGTAGTGTTCAGGCAGGTGTCATACATATATACTTATGTGGATATATGTAGCTGAAGGCGGGTGATGAGCGTTGGCCTCAAGACGAGCGCCAGACTCGAGTAATTATGCTAGTTTAATTACTGTCATCCGGGGCTATTTTCTATTTTGATATCTGCCCTGTTTTTTAGATGTGTTGGTGTGAATATCTCTAATAGATGTTGCCCAAATTGCCAGACCTAGTGGCTAGGGAAAAGTTACGGATTTTTCTTAGGAATTTCTCAGTGTGCTGGAGTTTTCAAAGTTCTGTCAGGAGTCTGAGTCACTGTGCCATCAGTTGCAGACATGGGAGTCACTGGCGCCTGTTTAAATTCTTAAACCTGGAAAGTATTGAACAATGACTACTTCGTATTTTTTTATTTTTTTCGGTAGGAATCAGTTTAAGCACCCATATTTAAAACAATAACCATGTCATTGCCAATACTTATACTAACAAAGCCATTTCTTCCCACAGTAATTGACCATGGAGGAAGATTTTGGCTTTGTTCCCCGTGGTAGAGGACGAGGGATGATGCGCGGACGTGGCAGGTAGGTTCGATGCTATCATCAGCCTTCTTTGGATCTTGAAGTTTTGTGGTATTTATATATGCAGATCTCTGCATGGTTTTTAATCGTGATCGGCAGCAATCATGGGAAATATGTCGCCTAACAAGTAACAAGTGACTGCGGTCCTGGAATAGTCCTATGGTTTATAAATCAAAAGTAATGATAAGGTTTTCATGCAGAGTCCATTATACGCAGATTTTGATCTCTTCGATGTTTCCCAATGGCTCGGCTGCTGTATGTCCCGGTGTCTGAATACCCCCTCGTCTCGCTCTCCAGGGGCGGCGGCTACCGTGGCGGTGACCCGGAGCGCGGCGGGTACCGCGGTCGGGGGGAGCGCGGCGCGCGCGGCTATAGGGGCCGGGGCGAGCGTGGCGGCCGGGGCGGCTATCCACCGCGCGGCGGTGGCTACGACTCCCCGCGCGGCTACGGCCGCGGCCGCGGCTACCCGAGCCGACGCGGCGGGATGGAGCACGGCGACTACGAACCCATGGACAGCTACGAGCCGGCCCCTTATGAGGAGCCGGCGGCCGAGTACGAGCCCAGAGGCCGTCGGAGCTATGAGCCTCGCGGCCGCGGAGGGTACGAGGGTCGTGGCAGGGGCGGCTATGAGCCCCGTGGCCGAGGAGGCTACGAACCCAGAGGTCGGGGTGGCTACGAGTCCCGCGGCCGCGGAGGTGGTTATGAGCCCCGCGGTCGCGGAGGGTACGAGCCGCGCGGCCGCGGAGGATACGAGGGTCGTGGCCGCGGTGGCTACGAACCCAGAGGTCGCGGTGGTTACGAGCCGCGCGGCCGCGGCGGCCGCGGTCGGCCTCACTTCGAGGACGCCGGCTACCCGGAGGCGCCGCCGCCCAAGCGCGGCCGCTTCGTGGGCGGCGGCGGCTGGGGCGAGTACCCGCCCGAGGAGCGCGGCTACGCGGCGGAGTACGTGGAGGAGCCGCGGGGGTACGCGGCCGAGCCCCGTCCGTACCGAGGCGGGTGAGTACACACAGCACGCGCGCCGCTCTTTGCCACACACGCCAACACGTGTGGCAAAACACCATCGCGATGTAGCTTGTGAGTTGTGACAGAGTGACTGCGTTTTTGTCGCTCGCTGCTTTATTTTGCTTATCGCTCCATTTTTAAGCTGCTGCCTTTTCTAGTAATTTGCCGATCTGATTATTTGTTCTTCGCATGATGCTGTTTTTTGCTAATATCACTTTAGTATTTATGTTTTAAAGGCTTCCTGCTAATTGGCTTCGTCCCTCTGGTTGTCTGTTTTCTACTCACGTTTCTTTTTATTTTGTTTTGTAGTTACTCCACCTATGACGCCGAGCCAGTGGAGCCCGGATATGGAAAGCGGTCATAGTGAGTCAAATCACACATGTTGCATCACATTCCCAACGTATTTTGTTTACTATTTCCCAGAGTCCTAGCATCTCAAGCATTCGGCACTATTTTTGAATTTGCTTATTCAAGTGACAGTTCCATTCATTTCATTCATTTCATTCAGTTCATTTTCATTCATTTCATTTTAGCCATTTGAAATGTTATGATTTTTTGGCATGCCGGTTAATGTGTCGTGTATAGGTATGTAATTGTCTGCCAGTTTTGATAGACTTTTTTAGTTATTGACCGTGCTCTGTGGAATTTGATGAAGATTGAAGATAATACTATCCCATCTACGCTGACGTTCAGTCCCGTCTTCACCGTCCTCCCCCATGTCGCGTCTTCGCTTTACTCCGACCACCGTTTTTTTTTTTATCTCGCTTCCCGTTCTGTCTGGACTCGCAGCTCATCCACATTCAGATCACATCCGCCCACACCAGTCCGTATCTCCGATTTGTGCGCCGTATGCGTCTTTCGTCCGGCTGTTTGCTAATTCGTCTCTGGTCCTTTTACAGCGGTGGTGACGACTATGGCGGCGACCGCTACAACGGCGGCTACAGTGAGTACATTTGCGCGCTCCCTGAAAGTTACACACTATATACACACACTGACCTGTGAATAAGTGAAGAGAATGTGTGAGCATATTCAACTCAACGATAGATGACATGGGAATGCTATAAGATCCAATAAATCCTCGCTCGTCATGGTGCAATATGATTGGATTTGGACAATTCGTTAAAGTTGCATTGGATTGGAGGCTAAAGAGCACAGCCTAGCGCGGCATTGATTTGGTGTTCGGCGATGTGTTCTGTCCATTGCTGTGAGGCGCTGGCTGTCACCAGTCATTAAAGGTAGTGTGCCACCTTTCACAGATTTCCCATTTTATTTTTCCTAGGATAAGAAGCTTCTGTTTTTACCTAATATCGCAAAAAAAAATCAAAAATGGGCCTGGAATAGTGCCTTTTTTGCCTTAAAGTTTATCGGTTTTTCGGTTTAAAAGTTTTAAAAGTTTAATCGGTTTAAAAGTTTATATGTATAACAACTCTAGTAGGCTGACCTGCAAACAGGCGTCGGCAACAATCGCGAATGCGGCGCACATGTGACAATAAGCAAAGGTCATTATAGAGTTACGACGTACGGGAATGAGTTATCAGCTGTCTAATCGTAGACAACACAATGTCGAACTTAAACTGTAAGCCTGTATTGGTATTGTTTCTTTAATTTGGCTGTCGAACATTAATTTATGGTTTGAAATATGATTTTATGTAAAATAATTCATATGAAACAGCCGTCTCTTAAATTATGACCCCATTTCACCACACGAAAGTGGCAGAAATGGCAATGATCAGCTGACGCATTTTTCTTCGCCGAAGTCAGAGCGCGCGGCCCGACGCACCACCACCGCACCACAAAATATGAGCAGCGTATTTGGAAATTCCGACCTCGACGAGCATCGGAAGCCACCTAACAGGCGTGTTCGAAACCGCAGGAGATGATGATGAACGGGTTTATCGAAACTTGATTAGATGAGCCTATCGGTAATAGCGATTTTAGTGTGTGCATTTATTGTTCATAGTGGTGTGAAATGTGGTTGGGGTAGAACCGACAACCCGTTGGAGCGAATTTCGCACTGGGGCACTCAAAATTTGAAGAATTTAAGACGTTTCCATGAGTTTTGAAGGTACCTATGGATGAGTTCTAAAAATCCGGTTCTCCTTATCCGGGTCATTAACTCCATATGGTCCTGGAAAGCTGGCACACTACCTTTAACACTGACTTTGTGTCCGTTTTCCACAGACGGCCGAGCGATGGATGACGGCTACTCTAACGGTCACGGATACCAGGCTGGTACGTATCTCCTTGCCCCTGGGAAGGGAACGATGCCCGTATCCTTACCCTAACCCGCAGCGTAGTGTAGAGAGGGTAGGAGGTAGGCTAGTGAATACAATCATCGCTTTCAAAGAGTGAGGTGGTTTAGGCCAGTCAAGTAGTACCTATAAGCTCGACTTGACCATATTTAGATGGATGACTATTTATATAGATCGCGACTATACGCCGCTTTTAATGCCGTTTTTATACGTGAAGCAACGATCAATGATCCTGTTCTTAATGCAACAGCATGCCAGCTGTTTTGCCAGTCATCAAAAATTGAATAAACTGGCCACAAAATTGGTATAAAAATGTTAATGATAGCCAGACGATGATGGCGGCGACGGTGGCCCTTGAGGAGGGTCGGGCTATGAATGGATGAGGTGAACGTACCTCCATGTGATGCAATAGTGATGTCCCAATGCTGTCATGCATGTCAGAAACGCTGTTATGGCCTAAAATGGTCAGCGATATAAGCCGGAACGTCTCGATTAGAAAACCTGTTACACATTTTTATGTGAAGTGTTGTATTTCTCAATTTGATAACAAGGTGTCTGTGTTCATTCATCACGCCAAAATTGAGCAGAATTGACTGGCTTGCTATCAGCTGTCAGTAAAAGTCAAAGTAGATGATTAGATGACTTGCGGGCTTTCAGTATGCTGAAACCATGATAACGTTAAGAAACGGCGTCGACTCATGAACAGTGGATCTGTTGCCTATTGATATAACGATGAATGTCATTAGCCATTGCAGACCGGTACGAGCAGCAAGCTATTCTATGCCGAGCTTTTACCGGTAACGCCGGCTCTGGCCGCTGGAGGCGCTAGTGTAGCTATTTAGGCGTCCACCGGAGGCCGAGACGCCATACTGAGGCTTGGCTGACATGTTGTGCTCTCATCTGTTCTAGGTGGCCGTTGGTAGTAGGTTACATGTGCCCAAGGCTGTTGCGCGGGCACGGTAGACCGCTACGGTAGAACGCTGGCCTGACAAAGGGGCTCCGCACACGCCTGCTAGGCGCTTACTCTAAAGTCGGGTGATTCCCTCGAGAGCGTGAGAGAGGAACTGAGACAAAGAGAAAGACAGAGCTGACGCGTCGAGGCCACGAGAGAAACTGTGACGTACAGATGAGTGGCGTGAACATGCCTGTGAGCCGCGAGGCGGGAGCTGACCTTGATGTCTGCGGAGTCTGGAGCTAGGTTCGACGTAGTGCTGTTTTATATGTCGAATTCACTGAGATCCACGTTCATGTACTACTTTCATCTTACCATCTTCGTTAGTGGCCGCCATTTGTTGCTGTTCTTTCTCGCTGGAGAAAGCGAAGGAAAGTAACGGGCGCCCGATTAGTGTTGTAAGACTATCTCATCCTGACCGCGTCATAAAGGTGGATGCGCGAACAATTTCATAATATACTGGCGTCAAAACGTCTGCAGTAATTTTACGAAAGGATAATTGTTGCTTTTTCTGTTTCTTCGGTTATAGTGTAAGACATAGCGCGACAAACTTTGATATGTACTTACGGAAATGAAGCCCATCATCAGCGTATTAGTTCCTTCGATGTCGATGTCATAACCTGATTGGTCGCGATCATTGGCATTTCAATGTCTCAATAAAAATCATGACGAACATGTAGTTATTACCAGAAATGCTCAATGTTGGATGCATTTCACAAGGCGATTGCGGTGGCTGAAAGGTGAAGGGATGCTATGTAGTCCGCGATGTATTCGGGAATAGAACTCTCCGAAACCATGTAGCTTATTTTGTAGACATTCATGAATATGTGGCGTATGTTTACAAACAGTATTGGTACGTTTTGAAACCAATCGCATTATTCTGCCTTCATGACATCAGGAACAAGACAAGCGTTACAAAAAGACTAGGCGCTACAATTCTGACCGTTGCGAATGTGTCGTTTTATAGTGTCCCGTGTGTGGTAAGCGGAGTCTGATGCCGGCGCCGGGTATGACAGCCGTGGGCGTTGGCCGGCGGCGGGTGGGGCTGGCCCAGTGCCCGCCTCTGACGTGTCGCGCAGTAGCTTGGTGGCGAGCCAGGCGGGGGAGGCTGAGGCCCCCAGGCGGGGGAGTGGGCCCCCAGGTGGACCGGGGGTCACCACTGGCCGGCCTCCAGCGCCAGATAGGTAGATCACCGGATGGAGGCGGATTAAACCGGCTCGCCAGGTGACCAGAGAGTGTGGAAACGGCTGAGACGCGAGCTAGCATGCCGTCCCTTACTAGGTTAGCTCTGGTCTTCGACGACAGATCAATGAATGGTCTCTATTGAGCAAAGCTCCGAGCTCGAGTGTGTGATCTTAGATCGAGATTCGAGACCAATGAAAAGTGATGCACGGAAACGGAGCTCGATTCGATCGCTTCTTCAAGTGATCTTTAGTAATTTGGTCACGTATCTTATAACGCATGATAAGTAGATAGCTCATTGCTTTATGAACCTCGTGTGAGCACCAAGCAGCGTTCATGTGGGCCTACCCGGCTGAGTTTGGTCAGGCTAGTGTGCTTTATGTCTGTTAGCCGATGCCAAGCGGTAAACCGATGACGTGAAATGAGCGATGACCGGACGCAACGAACCGGGTCGTGAAACTGCAGGCTTCTGGCAATGAACAGGAGTCGGGAGAGGTCAGCGCAGGGCCCGGTCGCACGGAGAGGGTCAGGAGTGTCAGCACTCAGGACAACGCCAGGTAGGAGTGACCGAGGGTCAGGATGCCCCAAAATACGGATGACTGAGGCTCAAGACGTCCTCAGGTAGGGATGGCGCGGAGTGAATAGCTATAGGAGCGGCCTGTTGTCCAAGCTGGCCGAGGGCAAATGCCGGTGCTGGACTTAGATGGAGAGTAACGTAATGCCAAGGAAGCTTGAAAAGCTCACATTCAAAGAAGTATACGATCGTAATGTGGATTCGTATGCAGCGTAATCAGACGCAACTTTGTTTACTGTTTAACATTAAAACTAAATATCACTGGTCACAGACTTCTCTATATTCAGAGAAGCCTATGCACTGGTCAATGTTCAATGTTTTCTAGCTAGCCAACTCTAGATGAAATGACTCGGAACCAAATAGTCCGAACAATGTGCTGAGGGTCATTTTGTTTTAGGCATTTTTGGTCAGCTGGAGGAAGCTATGATTTCCTAGGTCAAGTAGTACCCTTTCGATCCTTTCCTGCATGCACTTTGACTTTCGTTCTCTTGTTATGAGGCATCAACTTGATAGTAAATATATTACGCTTCTTATCTCTTGAAAATTAAATGATCTTTTGTAGACAACAGATTTTCACTGAATACATAAACTATCACCTATCGAACGTTATGTCTTCTCCGTCATTCTTGTCTTTGTGAATTCACCCCACCCAGCTTCGTCACCGTTGACCGAGGTCTGATGATCAGGCTGACGGGTCAGGTCAGCGTCCCGTGTGACCTGACCTGACCTGACCTGACCGGCTGGATGAAGACGTCCGTCGGCTGACCGCCGCGCTGGTGACCTGACCTGGTCGGAGAGGACAATCACAGGTGAGACAGGGTGTGGGGGTTGGTCTGGAGGACGGTGTCCACTGGCAGTGTGGTGGCCTGTTGTGGTGATTAGTTGTTCTGTTCTAGTTAGTGCCGATCTTCCCTGTGATGTCCCCCGGCCCTCTGGTGATGCTTAGACACATGTCCTGACACTAACACCCATGATATCCAGTGATAACATCGAGCGCCGTGACGCCAAGACTGGGTTTGCCGCCGACTTACCGTAATGTTGCCGTCACTGTTGGTCGTAATACCCCTCTCTTTGACAAAGCTGGATCGGATTCGGAATCATCTTTGATCTCATTCAATAACGGTGGTGACGGTCGAAGGCATCGTTTGAATACCTACGCTTAACCCGCGCCCCGTAGGGGGGGGCCGAAACGGCCCCCCCCCTGTCCTTTTCGGTCGATATCTCCTAAACGGCTGGAGATATCGCAACCAAACTTTCAGGACCCCTCCGGGCATCAATTTTACACATTGTGACCAAAAATTTTTCCAAAGGCTGTGATAGGTTGGCCACAAATGACGTCAGAGTGACGTCATGTTCTGTCATTTTCGACCGAAAAAGACCTTCGCGAGAAGACCTGTCAGGCCTACAGCTTTGAAGATACAGAAAAATGATCAAGACATAAAAGGTGTAGAATTGACAGGGCTACAAAACTGCTATCTCGGATTTTTGAAATTTTTGAGTTTTGATCCCCAAAAATCAAAAAAGCATTTTTTTGGATATATTAGCCAAAAAATCCAAAAAGTTTTTTGAGTTTCAAAAAAACCGGAATATATGTGATAGTACCTACGGTCTTCTATCTACATACCAAATTTCAGATCGATACCTCGTTTTTTGGCCAAGTTATAGCGAAAAAACTGTTCAAAAATGATGACGTCAAATTTTCAAACTCAATTTTTGGCAATTCTAGAACTCGTAGAGCAAAACAAAGACCACCATTAGACTCCCCGTGATGAGCTGCATCGAATGGATACCCATTTTATGCAAAAATATCAACTTTGAAATTTGACCTAATTTGACCTGACCTTGACCTGACCTTCACCAAAACGTGGCCTAGGCTGGCCCCAAAGGCTGCCTAACCCACATAATCGCATTTGTCATGTAAAATGGACCATAAAACATGTATCACACGACACATTCATATTGTGACCCCCGGTGACCTGACCTCGCTGTGACCTGACCTGGTATCAGTGACCTCAGATAGCAAAGTATGTGTTTGACGAACAATATACCATCGATGGTTTTCAATAAATTACCAATTTACTCGATTTCACAGCACATTTCTTGAATTGCCTGTGAACGGTGAAAATCTGACCTTTGACCTGACCTGTGACGTCATCGGTTTGACCTAGGTCAATGAAATTGGGTCACAAGGTAGTTCCCGGGTAGGGCTATCAAACGCCGTTTGAATTTTGAAAATCGGCCGGTAACTTTCCGAGATCTTAGGGGGGGGGCGAAACGGCCCCCCCCCCCTACGGGTGGTAGGGTCCGCCGGTAGCCCTACGGGGCGCGGGTTAATAGTGAGAGGACCTGTAGTCTCGTCAAGCTAGATCCCTGACCCTGACCTAATCGATGGAGATCTGTCAGTACCCGCCGGCGAGCCCTGATCCGCCTGCCAATAACACCACTGACGTGCCAACCAGTGTCAACCTGACCCACCGACCAATAACACCCTGACCCACCGACCAATAACATCCAGGCACGCTGACCAGATGAACCGTGACACATCCGTCATCCAACCAATAAAGCCCTGTCCCACCGACCAATAACACCCAGACACCCTCCAATAGCATCCTGATACGCCTACCTTTAACCCTATTAGTGGCAGGCTCCTGGCTACCCCCTATTAGTGGCAGGGGGGGGGGGGCTGTTTACGACCCCTCCTTGATATCTCGAGATCTAACGGGCCGATTTTCAAAATTCAAACGGCATTCAATTTCGCTCAACGTGATCTACATTTCTAAAAAATAAAAATTAAAAAATGTCAATAGGGGGGGGGGGGGGTAGAGGGGGGTAAAAACGGGCAAATTGCAGATACATTTTAGACTGTTCATCACGGCCAGGTTTCTGAACCAATCTTAACGCAACTTTTGCCGATCGATAGAGAATGAACCAGGAATTCACATGGATCCTAAAAATATGCATTTTCAAAAATAATAGGCGGATACAGATAATTGAGATTGGGGGTACACAAAAAGTATAGTAAATAAGGTTTTTGTTGGTACTGTTTCTAAAAAGGGTGGTAATGGTCTTGTTATGTTATAATTTTCTTATGAGAGAACGACTAAAATTGTATTGGTAATGCATAGGCGGTGTCAGGGCACCTATGTTGGGAGGTAAAACATACCCCCCTTTTTGGACGCCTGGATCCGCCTATTATAGCAAAAACGTGTCAAAAGAGGATGCACAATAACTGTATATGTTATCACATGATACCTTTTATTCACTGTTCGTAAAACTGGTGCAGCATCGTGATCTTCGCCCAAATGACTCGCTTCACGAATAGGACCCCCCAATTCCCAGTGCTCTGGAGCCGCCCCTGGTAAAGTTATGAACTTGAAATTTTCAGGGAATGTGCCCAATTTAGTTTTAGGAAAAGTCAGAAAATTTCAGCATCGTAGCTTCAGCGGTTTCGGAGATATTCCCGAAAAACCTGAGGGGTGGATAAAAACAACCCCCCCCCCCTGCCACTAATAGGGTTAACGTCATGATACAACGACCAATCCATGACACTTTTGACACAACCGATTGACAGGAAGCGAGCCAGACCGGCCGCTGGCCAAGGCGAACCATCCTCGTACCACTTTATTTCACTCTCAACTGACGATGGTGGTTGATTTGACCTTGTGCAATCATGGGCTCAATTGTTGATCTCCGCTACAGCCACAGCGATAGCCATGAACCCTTGGTCCTCCCATGCATGAGTTGTAGTTAACGGTAACTTCAGACGAGTCTACGATTTGTGTATTTTAGAGTGTCCTTGAGCCCTGTTACCATGTGAGAATGGTTTACAATTCTGCTGGCGTGTTGTACAGACTGCATGTTAGCTAGCGACGCTATTCCGGGTAAATTTAACAATGTCGACCATGAATCAGACCGTGCGGCTCAATGAATGTTTCGCGAGCCTCGCGTGTAAGACATCGACCGAATTGTAAATGGGCTCAAAGCCTCCAGTCACGCTAGTTGAATGCTGTGGAGGGGCTCGGTTTTACCGCGTTAGTATTACTGGTTTGTATGGATGGTATCAGTTTTACTCGTACAGAGACACGACATTGCCACTACCGGGATGTGTTCCTCACTGAGTGATGGCTGTCTGATTGCAGGATTCGGTCGGCTTGCGTCTGCCGGCACCTGAGCTGGCGGACCAGATCACCCAGCGGGGGAACCGCGGACGGTCCTGGACCGGGACCACAGGCGGTGACACACCAGAGGACCAGAATCGGGACCGGACGGTCCCGGTCGCCTCAGCATAGGTCGGGACAAGTGCGTTCGTTTTTCAAACTATCCGTGAACGCCGGCACCAAGCTCCGATAGCGGCGCTCTTAGAAGTTAGGATGTATGTTTTAGAACCGTTATGGATCACTACCTATCGTCTTTCATTCATTCATGATTCACTCGTTCATTCATTTACCTATCCATCCATCGATCCATTCATTCTTTCATTCATTTTCCCCTTCCAGTTGTACCCTTAGGTAAAGGTTTGTAATTTATATGCATTCCTTACGTTGACAAACGCTCATGTTTACCGTTATGCCCGTAAGGCCGGCTGAGTGCTCATGTCAAATAAACATTTCGAAATCATTGACCCGATTCGTTTGAGATCTATGAGCGCTGACTATGTTCGGGCGACTGCGCAGCGACTATTTCGAGGCAACTTTGACCCAACAACAGGATTGTGTTCGTTGTAGGATTGGAGTGGAGATGCGCCATTGCCTGCGGAGGTGGGAACGCTAGTGCGACTCCGACTGACTGAACTCACCGGCTGTCTGGGAGGCTCTGGCACGCTCCGGCGCCTGGCGACGACCGAAACTAGAGGTGCAAATTCGGCTGCCTTTACTGAACTGTTTACTGAGGATGAGCGGTTATGTTTCTACGTGATTGGTGTCATATATAAAGAGTAACATAGAAAGAGGCGTTGACGAGATATGAGCACTCGTTACTAGGCACACCGTGCTGGCTAGCCAAGGGATGCTTGCCCGCACTTCGAATACCACCCGCCAATTTACATCTCTCCTTGTGTCGACACGTGGGCACTGATTTGTGAGTATAGCTGTCAAACCGCGCCTCTGCGCTAATCAGAGGAGTCCCTCACTCAGCACTTGGCAGCTGGCACGCTCACGAGCGTCCGACGTCCGTCGCCCGGCATTGGAATCTGTCTTCTCGCAGAATCTAAACACAGCTGCTGCAGTGTTATGTGGATGGGTTTGAACTTTGAAACGATCGGCGCTACATTCCAAGACAGCACACATCGCATACACAAAGGTGCGCATCCTGCTTATGAGCGCATCTACCATTGATGAGTGCGGAAACTAGTGCGGAAACTGAGCGAGAATCATGTACTCGCATCGTTTGTCGGGCGCCACCTTGGGTCAGCCGAGCCGTGACCGGAAGGGGTAGTCAGGTCACATCTACCCCCCCCCCCTCTCCCCCGACCAGTTGTCCCGTGCCCGGCGACCCCGACTCGGATCGTCTCGCAGGCCTGGTGTCGGGTGAGGGGCTCGGTGGTCACTTCCTGGACCCCCCCCCCCTACCCCTTTCCACGGTCAGGTATCTTCTGTCGGCAGCAGCGAGGTTGGGGGGGGGGGGCGAAGGAGGACTGAACAAACAGCTCGTTCACGCACCGTAACTTGAACAGCCCATCTGCCGTCGGGACGAGCAACGGATCGACAACCGGCAACGGCATCAGATACACGGTCTACAGCGGCTGGATGAAAGTTATCCGAGTCCTGGTTCCCGGCAAGCACTTATCTTTCATCCCAGCAACAATCAGCCTGCAGCTACAGCGCGCTCAACTGATGTTTTACCGCTCAACCCCTCCGCCGTTCTGCACTGCTTTGAGTTCAGCACGACCGCCCACTGGAAGAGTTCCTCAATCCTCACCCCACTGCAAACGCCCTAAATGTTGACAAGTATGCACATTATATTCGCTTTTCACATTCACAATAACCAATGCAGTCATCCAGAGGTACATGCGATATCAAATGAGAAAACTGCTCGCGTACAAAACCGCCACTAAACATCAGCTTCTGATTTGGCAGGGGGAAATGTGAAACAAACTGCGTTACAGCAGGCCTCACCCTTGTCACAGCTTGCCAATAACAGTTTTCAATTCAAATGTTGTCATGTTACAGTCCTAACTATCTTCACACTCTAGTAGCTAATGATTCAGCCAGCCACCGACAGTGGCAATACTGCACGGGAAAAACAATGAACAACATTGGTAGAGTAAATGTTATGTGGTTAGTTGAGGCAATCTACCTACTGTTTATAAAGAAAAGGGTATGAGTATACAGTTCCTTTCTACCAAGCTGTGCAGGGAAAACGTGCATGGCACTGGAATGATTTACTTATTTCTGAGGGTGGCCAGCATGTATTGCACAGATTATTTATGCCCATGTTTCTCAGTCATCATGGTACAACTGACCAAGAGGATGCTTCAACTGAATTGTTTGCCTTCAGTTCAAATCCAGTAACACCAGCTGCAACCAAATCTTGGCTCCAAATAAGCAAAAATCTGCTTCATCAGATTATGTAACCAGACATGCCACAGTCCTCCATCTAATGCCAGCCACAGATGCAGCTTTCATCCTTCTGGTCACTCAGTAGGGCACATTGGCAAACAGGTAAGAGACAGACTCGCCATTGTGGGTTCTTCTCAGGGCCTCTGCGAATATCATGGCCACATCAATGCACCTGATCTTATCACACTGGATCATGTGCTCATCCTGAGGGATGGTGTTGGTGGCGACCACAGCCTCAAAGCAGGCTCCGTTGATCCGAGCAATGGCTGGACCTGAGAAAATACCATGAGTCAGGATAGCATAAACCTTGGTTGCTCCAGCTTCCTTCAGCTTGTCTGCTGCCTTGACTATGGTCCCACAGGTGTCAGCCATGTCGTCGACCAGGATCGCCACTCGGTCTGTGACGTTGCCCACTAGCACCATGTCAGAAACCTCATTGGCTTTCTTCCTCTCCTTGTGGATAAGAGCAAAATCCACTTTCAGACTGTCAGCTATAGATGTAACCCTCTTTGCACCTCCAGCATCTGGTGAAACAATGATGCTGGTCTTCCACTCACTGATGTTTTCTTTGATCCACTTCAGGACAGCTGGCTCAGCGTACAGGTTGTCCACCGGCAAATCAAAGAAGCCCTGAATCTGAGAGGCGTGCAAGTCCATGGTGATAATGTGATCCATCCCAGCAGCAGTAAGCATGTTGGCCACCAGCTTGGCTGACACAGGAGCTCTCGACTTGTCCTTCTTGTCCTGCCTTGCGTAAGGGAAGCAAGGGACCACAGCAGTCACACGAGCAGCCGAGGCTATCTTGCATGCATTTATCATGATCAGAAGCTCCATCAGGTTGTCATTGATCTCACCACACCCACTCTGAACTATGTAGACATCTTCACCACGCACAGACTCTCCAATTTCTACACATGTCTCCAGGTTGCTGAACTTCTTGGTGACCACGCGTCCCAGGTCGATACCCAAACGATCGACCACCTTGGCAGCAAAATCGGGGTGGGAACTCCCAGAAAATACCTTGATGTTCGGCATCCTGTGTTCTTGTTGTGTCGAAGACTCAATCTTTGTATGAAGTAAGCTCGACCTCGACAGGCGGCGTCCCCCTCTCAGTCACGTGCCCCGGGCGCAGAGGAACCACACGAGCTCCTGCGGGGGCGCGCTGCGAAAATGAACGTAAACAAACGGCGAGCCTCGCCGATCGAAGTGGCGCACTTTCAGCTCATGATCTTTATGTGGCGCTTTACTTTCAAGGAAGGTAGAAATGAAATCCTTTGTAAATCAGTTCTGCACTAAAAATGCATTCAAGCGATGACGTTTTATTTTGTTTTTATTGAGTTTTGTGGGAAAATCTATCTTAAGTAATCTTGGAGGAATCTTAAGATATATTCTAAAGATAAACAATTTAATTTACAACACAAAGGTTTCGAAAGTTAGGGTGATCATGCACGGGAAACTCGATTCTTTGACGGTATATGACGTCAATGTAGAAGGTCTATTTTTAGAGCCGCCGTATTTCAGTAAAAGCAGCTATAGTCTGTTCCATATCAAGCTTGCAGTCGGAGTTTCTTCGGCAGATCGCTCCTCCGCTCAAGAATTTACGTCTTAAAATGTAAGAGCTGTATATACAGAAATCACGTATTGCTTTCAGCAGGGCACTTCGGCTGCAAGCTTGAAACGGAACAGAGTATAGTTTTCGAATGCTGAAGATCCTGAAGATTCTTCAAGATACGGAACTGAGGAAATCAGAGGGCTGTTCACGGGCCCTGTGTGCGGTCGGACCGCACACAGCCTCGAAGCTCCGCCCACTGCGTCCCTACGTCAGCCTTCCGTCACCGCACACAGCGATCGCTGTGGCCGGTCGGGACTGGCCACAGCGGACCGTCCACCGCACGCAGCCGTGACGTCAGAGCCGCCTACCCATCCCCTACCCCCACGCCTGCTGGACGCACCGCACACACCGCACGCAGCAGTGTGCGGTGCCCGTGAACACCCCTCAGGTTCCGAAAATGTACAAGTTGTGTCGCAATTGACTGTTGGCTGTCCCAAAATCCCTTAGGACACATAAGTGCTTTTAAATTCACCTAAGGGGGTCCTTTCCAGCTTCTGGGGCGCCAGATGACTCAGTGGTGGCCTTAGACGTCCTCCCATATAAGGTGGCATATTTTGTATTAGGTGCCATTCTGAGGACACCTTAGTCCTAAGCCAGTCCTATTGTGATCAAAGCCGAAGGGAGCTACGTGCGGCCGCAAACTAGCTCGTTTGTTGTGTGCCTCTGGCACCTCGGCACATCCGGCTTGAAGCAAAAGAAAGGAAGTGCAACATATTTACATACAATGTATTTCTCGGGTACTGGACATACGCGTGGACGAAATTATTAAATAAGGAAACAGTAATACGAAAGGTCAAGTAGCACACATGTCCCCGGCCCAGTCGCAGCGGCCAGCTCTGAGAATTGATCGAGAGGTGCACAGAAACTCGACATATCACCGGACACGACCGGCCAACAGGCGCGAGCACCACACGCTCCCTAGCAACTGAATACTGGGTCACCGGCGGCAGAGCCGGCCGTGAGATCACGCAGCGTCGCCAGCCGCGCCAGGAACTCAACAGAACAGTGTACAGGGCCAGCAGTAGCTGCCCCGCCCCGCCCGCCGCGCGGACCGCGACAGCCCCCACCCTGTGAGCACGCGGGGGCCTCCTCTGACGCCGCAGGGCCACACACGACCCCTCCAAGACACAGGTGCAGACAGGTACTGAGGTATCCGCCCGCTGTCCATGTGGACTCGAACGGGCATCCAAACCGGAGGTCCAGACCGACCGTCTCCGATCGCCCTGGTGACTAGACGCGACAGTAGAGCCTGCTCGCCGCGCCGGTAGATGGCAGCAGGGAGACTCCACCGCGCTACCCACTCTGTAGCCCCGGGGGCCCAGGGTTCGTCCCGTGACCGGAGCACGCCGCCGCCGGACTCTGTCCTCGGCACGCGCTCAGGTCCCGGGAACACGCACAGTGACACGGCAGACACACTCTCAGTACTCGCACACAGGAGGCGCCAGGCGCCCCACCGCCGCTCCCATTCTCTTTGGTCCGCTCTATGTTATGCACTACTTTGACTCACACCAAACAACCAAGACGCGTCAGCGACGCCTTACACGCGCGCATATTGCAGAGTCGCGTATGGACGAGCACTGGCGCTCGCAGCGCCGCCAAGCGCCGCTGCCACGAACTACAGCCGCGCGTTTCCGCCGCCGGTGGCGCTGGCGGCGGTGCGGCGGCCGTTAGAAGCTCTGCGCGACGTGGCGGAGCGCCGATGACGACGGCGCGGTGTGCGTGATGAAGTATATGAGACGGGTGGGCAGCACTCCGGCGTTCAGCTGGTAAAACTCCACCAGCTGGATGAGGTCGTAGAAGCGCGTCTTGCCGCCGTCCAGCGAGAAATAGCACGTGACTGGCGACTGACTGGTGTCCTTTACCTGCGGGGGAAGAAAGTAGTTAGCTCACCAGAGTTATTTAATACACGTATTATGCCTATCAACGATAGCTCAGCCGGTAAGATATCGGCCGAGGAAAAATTAACAGTAGAAGCTGTCGGAAGACAACGATTAATCGTCGCAAATTCCGAGCCCGTTGCACAATAATCCGTGATCTACGCCAACAATTGGCACCAGAACCCAGCCAAAGTCCACTGACATCGAGCCAGCTGGGCTCCGCTCCTCCCCTCCAGAGCCTTCCTGGGCATTTCACCACTGCTACCAACTGGACTCACGTCCGTCGCTCATTCATTATGCCTAGTTCATGAGCGTCACTATTTCCTTTGAAATGTGAGCTGCCGACCAGCCGTCCCAGATTAAGCCAGCCTCGACACACCCCTTTGATAGCACCGTGATGACACAGTTGGACAGGCCCGATACTAATTAACCATGGCGTGATGCAGTGCAACGACATAATGAGGGCAATCCGCAACGAACCTGACACGTCCCAGGAGGCCATCTCTGACAAACAGTAAAAACATTTAACCCTCGCCCGCACATGGGGGGGGGGGGTTGCCACCCCCCCCCCAGGTAGTCTTTGTGCTCTGCACTCAACATTTTTAGAGCTAGAAGGCTGATTTTTCGTATAGCTGCTCCTCTATCCTTTCTTGATGTCCACTGAAAATTTCAAGTTTCTGTGATTTTTGGTTTCGGAGATATGACCTTGTTTTTCAGGTCATGTCATGACCCAAATGGCCGATTCTCAACATCTTGCGTTTGCCATGGGCCTTATGAGCTTTTGACACCCTGATTTCGGCCTTTTTTGCCAGTCTTACCTCCCACCTATCATGGAACATGTTGTTCGACGATGTACAGGGGTCAAGGTCAGGGTCAAGGTCAACCTAGGTCATCTAAGATAATTGCGTTTTAGGCAAGCTGAATTTACTTTTTGTGAAGTTTTTTGACTGCATTTTTGGTAAAAACTTCTCAGATCATGATTTCATGTAATATGGACCCAAAAACAATCGGTGCACACATCAGTATACACACAGACACACACAGACATACAAACACATATAATTGACCTTGACCTAACTTGACCTGAAATGACCTCAGCAGCAAAATTCAGGTCGGGTAGTGTGACAAAGAGGTTCTAGCTGGCTTGGCACCAGAAAACAGCATCGTCATCGGTATTTGATAAGCAGCACACTTGATATCCAACGGTGACCCAAAACAGCAACATTTTTTTAGTTTGACCTGACCTGGAAGGTCAATGACTGACCTGAGAAGGTAAAACTGGGTATCATTGGATTCGTCTCTTCCCAAAGAATCTTTTTGGTCTTTACTGCTAAGCTCTATCTCCAACAGGAACGAAATGGCGCGGGGGGGGGGGTGGCAACCACCCCCCCCCCCCCATGTGCGTTCTAGGATGGGAAAATGGCATGTGCGGGCGAGGGTTAAATGATAGAAGACAGACCTCGGCCAAGCGAGCTGCGGACAACGGTACCGATCAAACGAACGAAAACATCTAGAAAATTTAGGGGAGACTGCGTCACAAAAAGTAGCAGACTTCCTTTCTCTTCCAATGGGTCTAATAGTTGACCAAAAAACTCACAAGTTGCAGTCTGACGCGATAGAACTAAAGTCACTCACCGGCATTATTTGCGCGTGGTACAGCTTCATCCGGAAGATGAACGAGAGGACGAAGGCCACGGGGTTGCTGCGGCTCTCTCTGACCAGGAACACTCTGTCGAACAAACGGGACGGCAGGGTCAGTGCGAGGTCAAACACACAAAGCGACAAGTGTGAAGAAGTTGTACCAGATCGAGCGGTCAGCACAGCCGGTACGAAGACAACGGTAAATCTCATTCAAGACATGGCACGAATCAAACTCAGAGTGCACACATAAAAAAAAAAAAATGTGAAGTCGAAGATGTGACGGGGTCAAAGACCCAAAAATAACGCGACGTGGTTCCTCCTAATTTCAGCATTCCGGTACCACACTATCATACTAACCAAAATAAACACGATATAAAAGCTGACCGACGGAGTGACTTCTTAGACGTCTATTTTTAGCCAAAAATAGCACATAACGAGCCCATCCGAGACTATATCCGGCATGAATGATCGCCACAATGATGTCGTTGTTTGTAAAAACGCTCTTGCAGTGCTACATAAAGATCAAGAGATACGCCATCCCATGTCCTACCAAACACATTGAGCAACAGGGTCGTGTGTCCATCTAACGAGCGCTTTCATGACGCCCAGCTGGCGGAGAAGCCACAGGGCGCACCCGTTTATACAAACGAGCCCCCTCGTTACCGCCCATAACCGGTACCGCCCACCGGCGCGGCTCGTGACCTTTGTGACCCAGCCGGGTCGCCACCCCGGCCGCCCCCGCGGTGGCGCAATGGCCGCCGTCCAAACACCGCCCGGGGGGCGCCGCGGGGGGGGGGGGAAGTTCCAGGAAGCCGCTCCGCCCCCTGACCTGGCCGTGACGGGAGGCCGCACGGAATGCCACGGGGTGGCACGCCCTTCACCAGAGCAGGGGCCTGGGTTGTGATCGTCACGTGCACATCTCAGTGGGCTACAGCAAACAAACATGACCAAGTGGGCGTGTCCGCTAATAATTCTCATGGGTTCGTCAATTTTCATTTAATTATCTTAAGAAATTTCGATTAATAGTCACGCCCATACTTCCATTGAGGATAATGATAAAAACTTCACTGATGCGGAGAAAAGTGCTAGCCTTATAGCCAATGATGGCTTGAGTCTTGATATCGCCCTAAAACTCCGGCTGCTATCATCCCTGGTGCGATCTAAGTTCTAACCCCTCACAGCCCTCATTACTAACCCGTCTCGGCCGTACTATTCCCTCCACCGTACAACTCTCCCAGCCTTCCGTACCTACTAACCCGTCTCGGCGGTACTATTCTCTTCCCAGTCCGCCGTACTTACCCCTCACAGCACTCCGTACTAAGTACTAACCCGTCTCGGCGGTACTTTTATCTCCCCAGTCCGCCGTACTAACCCTTCACAGCCCTCTGTATGTACTAACCCGTCTCGGCCGTTGTGTTTGTGCAGCAGTTGCGATGCCTCGTCCCGGGTCAGGTTGCCATGGTACCACGGCTGTGTGTTGTGTATCGCTCCTTCAATGTCTCGCGCAGACGCGCCCGCCGCCAGTTCTGTGAAACAAAGAACGGGTGGGTTAGTCCAGTGACTCGCGAAGTTCACCACCAGAGGCCAGATTTGACGCGGATAAGTTGACTTAAATTCAAAAGTTGGACCACCAGGCACCAAGGATTGAAGTAAGCCAGGCCTGTTGATCTGGAAAACTTGTCTACTGCTCTCATCATTCAGATGACAGTCATTGCTCTGACCTACGAGACATCACCAACTCGTAAAAACGACAAGTGAGATAGAACTCATCGAGCCAATCAAATGTCTCATCTATGATACGTTATACTACATCCCTCGTGTTATACTATATCCCTCGATCACTCTAGCCCAGCCATTGTTTGTTTTCAACGGGCCCCCAAAATCGCCAGACGGCTGTCACGGGAGCCACCCGGCCCCGGCGCCCTAGTCATACAGACGCGGTGTCACTCACAGAGGCGTCTGATTTATAACGGCGCCCCCAGCATCTATCAATAAATCTGCCCCGCTGGAATGCAGACATGTCGCTGGCAGGCCAACAGTCTCAACAAAACCAAAATATACATCCTTGCATATCCAGTCAGGGGGAGGATATTGCAAATAAGGCGTACGGCTTAGACGAAGGATCCATCACATCTGCTGGAGGTTATTTGATAGCCCACTTAGTCGGTGAGTGACCCCACTGTTCCACAGCGCACCAGATCTTCCAGGAACGTTACGTCATCGTTCCATATAAGCATACGTATATCTTAGGGCCTCGCGTATATCTCTGAGACTCATGCTCTCAAAAATACTCTATAGTCTATAGACTATAAAGCCACAGAGCAAAGCAAAGCGACATCAGCGTTCACCTATCCCGTTCCGTCCGTTGTCAAAATACATACCTGAGAGCCTCTTTAGCGCGTGCGTTCTCCTGAGATGGTGGCCTTCTGCCAGCTCGATGGCCCTGGCCTCGACCGGATCACTGACCACCCTGCCACAGCTGCCGGTGAAGTCCATCGCCACCAGAGAGCGCATACTTTGCTGCAGAGGGAGAGAGGGGGCGGTCAGGAGTTCGGCAGAGGGGAGGGGTAGAGAGCTGACCTAGAATCTACATCGGACAAACGGCGCACATGGAGGGTGCCCAGACGAGGCACAAAACATCGCGCAGCCAGGCAACAAAAAGTCATAAACAATCTCAGGAAACGTCGAGGAGTCAGGGACCGTCCCGCTCACAAAACATGGTCGCGCGCCAGCCGACGGTGAATCGTCGTGCCAAAACTCCCGTCCCCATCCCTCTGCCCTCCTCCCTCCCTCTCTCCTCTAGTGCATGAGTCGTGGACATTGATAGACTGTCCCCGAAGGCTGGAGGTAATAGGTTATGCGTCAATCCGCGGGGAAAGACCGGGCATTGACCGGTGGTAGAAGCAATATGGACACTGCACAGCATAATTACAGTGGAGGAGTGAAGAGAGAGAGAGAGAGAGAGAGAGAGAGAGAGAGAGAGAGAGAGAGAGAGAGAGAGAGAGAGAGAGAGGCGAGTGAGGAGAGAGAGAGAGTGACGGTGGCAAAGGCATCAGAGCGCAGAGAGTTAACCCAAACTTTTGTGATACTTGTATCAAAAGCTAGAATTTATATCACCTAACAACCCGCAGCTGTTATGTGCGATAATTCTGAAAATGTGAAACAGGCAACTCACGTGTTACCGCCTGTCCAAGCGATCAAAACATGTCACTACTTTTCTGCGTGACTTGGTCATTAGACGCCTTTTTCATGCACGGGACGCAAAAAGTGTGCATTAGTTGACAGTAAAAACCAGTCATATGCGTGATGGTGCGCCTGTCAACACAGTCTCTAAAGGAGAGCCGTCGAGAAGGCCAGCACCTAATGGCGAGCCCTGGGGACCCTGAATACGCGTCATTGAGAGCCACCACTGATGTCACTAAGACGTGATAAAAAGTGCAGATAACGGTATTAGGGTCAGGGTCCGCAGCATTGTGACTACATCTCTGATTCAAAAGCAGAAGATATTACCAAAGCGCGAGACAGCGAAAATACCGAAGACGGGTACAAATGAAAGAGAAGTTGAGGACGACGGACACAAACATCGAAGAGGACGGGCATGGCAGTAAGATGACACGAGAAAACAAAGCATATATCGCATGCAGGTGAGTAGCGCAGTGGAGATGAAAACCTAACCATCAGTCACATAAGAAATCAGAGAAACGTGAAAGGCTTTCCACCACCGATCCATCCTCCACCATCATGCGTATTGCGTATCTCGAGCTCGCTCCTACCTCGCGGGTTAGCGAGTCCCTCCGGCTGCGCGAGTCGAATCGACTCACGTTAGGGACTCGCACCGAGTCGTAGTCGGACGGCCGGACTCGAGTCGTCTCGTAGTCAGAGCAGGAGGTGCGGGAGACGGGCGCAGCACGCGGCAGGCTGCCGCCGCCGCTGCCGCTGCCCGATAGACCAGCGTTCGAGAGAGTCCGTGAGCGCGGGATGGGCATCTTGGGCGAGGCAGAGTAGCAGTAGCGCTCGCGCGGACTGCTGCTCTGTTCGTTTTCGTGCTGGATTCGCTGGAAGTTGTAGTTTTCGTGCAGCTGCTTGCCGTACTGTGGGAGAGAGCGGCGGAGAGTGAGAAGAGGGAGAGAGCGAGACGGTGGGAGGCAGGGAGAGACAGACGGTGAGCGAAGCAGGGCTGGCAAGAACCGAGGGGAGGCAAGAAAAGGGTAAGCCAGCAGAGATGATAAACTGGGTGAGGATAAGAAAAAAATTGTATGCACGTATGACGAAAGTTTCCTAAGACTCGCTTAAGCCACGGTTCTTTTTACATATACGCAGAATGAAAGTCACACCACGTCACACAAATGAGGATGATATGAACACCAACGCAGTCCCTGATCACCCACTGACGACTGCCACCTCAGCGACTGGTCAGCCAGACCCCTGCATGGACGCAGCTGGTGTCCAACAGTAGACACAATGGCACACAACACCTGGGCGCACTTACAGACAAAAGGAGAAAAACGCGAACTGATGCGAAGTGGTGGTGCGTCACATACCAGCCCCATGCATGTCTCTGGGCAATCATGAAGAGGCACATTGGATTTAAGCCGACAGAAAGGAAATGCCCCCTAATATTTGATTCTCATTTCTCCCTGGGCCTATTCTAGCACCTTGGCCTCTCCTTAGCTACCCTTCCGCTCCCCGTACCTTGGCTACTCGGAGCGTCTTCTCCGTAAATACCTTGGCTACTCGGAGCGCCTTTTCCGTAAATACCTTGGCTACTCGGAGCGCCTTCCCGCATACCTTGGCTACTCCCCGTACCTTGGTTACTATTCAGTTCTCCCTCGTACCTTGGCTATTATCCCGCTTTACCTCGTACCTTGGCTACTCCCCTCGTACCTTGGCTACTCGGAGGGCCGTCTGCCAACAGCGCCGCGTGGCAGAGTCGTCGCAGGCGAGGCAGCGCAGCTGGTGACCCGTTCTCAGGATGACAGCCTCGTCGCACGGCGCCTTGAAGTCGCGCCGCGCGTCCGAGCACCCGTAGACGGAGTAGTGCTCCAGCTGGGCGAACACGGCGAACTTGTCCCGCTCCCGGGGAGGAGGGTCCTGGGGGTCAGAAGGGGAGGGGAGGGGTCAGGACGTGTCCGGTCGGGAGATGAGAGGCTGCAAGTGTGTCAGCGCCACGTAGATCGCGGTAGTTCTTGGTTTGGAGATGGTTTCCGAGTAATCACATAACGGCTTAACATCGGCGGTCAGTTGATTGGTACGGAAAACATGGTGCGTTGAAAAAATGGCACTGAAGCTGAAAAAGGACGTTCATGAATCATGATAACCCTTTCCGTAAATGAGACATTACGCAATCAGTTCGGCTCGTTGCAATGACGCTAAAAAGTACAAACCAGACACCTAGACAGACTCTACCAGCAAATGAAATTCACGCACAACTCAGTTCTAGTCACAAAGTCCAGCCGTCAAAAAATGTGAACGTTTTAACGTCAACGATGCGGCCCACCTATTCGTCCCCTGAATATCACTTCCGCAGGTCACCGATAGATGGCACGCACATCACTTACATCTGTCGCCTCCATGGTATAGTAGAGGACGTCATTGCGGAGCCAGAAATACGCTCTTCTCCAGACCCGAGACTCGGGGCCGGCCAGCCATAGCCAGCCGAACACTTGAGGTGTGGGTGCAGAGGTAGTGAGCAGGCTCTGAAACACAAGGGGTCACAGGTCAGGTCACTGGTCAGAGGTCAAACCAGAGGTCAGGTCACAGGTCATATTGCAGGCAGTCCGATGGATCGCAAAAGGGAGGGATCTCAGATCTCGGGAAGGGAAAAATGAGTGCGAGCATAATAGGCGAGTGCATAATATGTACAAACAAAGCGCAAAAGGGGCATTCCATGTCAACCGGGACAGCCAAAATCGGCCACCTCTGCGATTTTGTTCAAACTTGGTAAACTTATTGGCTATTGGGTAAAACCTCTGAGGGTGAAAGGATTTTGTCATATGCCCTCGGGCTACAGAGATACAAGTCGCTAAACTTCTGCTTTTTGAGCAGAATTGGACGTGTATTGCAATCTTGAAAGATCTATAGCTTCAACATTTTTGAAGCTATTAATGTCAAACAAACTGAAACGTGTACATAAGGAGTTATGCAAGTAAAATTTGACAATTTTTACATTTTTTGGTGATTTTGAATTTATTTTATTTTGAATTAATTTCTTAAAATGTAATTTGTGAAAAATGGGTACCCTTCGATTTTGCTCAAATTTAGATATTGTCTTCCACTAGACGTAAGGTACACGTGCTGAGAAAATTAGAGTGGGCCAACGATAACTTTGGATGATATAGCAACAAGTAGTGCAACGTAGCACGGGCGGTGGAAGGGGCCGATTTCGCTAACTCCACCTGTTTATCGCCAATAACTCACGCCATAATTATCATATTAACGTCAAACTTTAAGTATCTGTCCAGAATCGAATTGCAAATCCTCCCGTGCAAGAAATAGGTAAATCGGTCCACAATTTTTCTGGTAATAGCGGTGTAAAGTCAAACATTCCTGCCGGAGCGGCTCGGCGGCCGGCGCCGGCCGTTGCCGCCTGAATGGTATACTGTGCCGGCGCGGGACGGTTCAATCTTTGCACCGCGCTTCTTACCGCTGATTATGATCGATTCGTGTCAAACTTTGTGTGAAGGCTTAAAAATGTACAGGCAATCTAATGTTCAAATAAATACGAAAATCAACTGGCAAAATTAAATTTTTAGGGTGCAAACACAATATGTGACTATGACGTTTCCCGCGTCGGCCGATCCCCGCCACTGCCGGCGACATCTTACTCTTAGCAAGCCACTAACTGCCAAGTTTATGGTAAGATTAACTAGAGATTCTCATAACATTACAAATGTCGTAAAAAGGAAGAAATAGGAAAATCGGCCAGTATCTCTTAGAGCTATGGGCGTATAAACGCAAAATAGTCACTATAGCAAATTTGATCACGTTTAACCTCATTTGATCTTGAATATATTGATCTAGGGCCATGAAATCGGCACACGATAAAGTTCCCCACCGCCCCACCTACAATTCAAATTCCATTTTTTTATACCTTTTTTGGCTAAACCGGGCTTTTCTCCCCTAGCGCTGGGAAAGTCATGCGTATTTTCTTTTTGCAACCAAAGAGAGGCGCTGCCCGGAGAATGCCCAATTTCATCATTAAAAAACTGGCTTACGATGACCAGCTATCTTCGTGGCTTAGTAGTAAGTGTGCCGAGTGTACCCACCTCGAAATCTAAAGGTCGCTAGCTCGCAGCGAGTCAGCCTGAAGTGTTCAATAGGGGAGAGTGGGGTGGGTTGTATCAGTTTTTACTCCGAGACCCATAACCTCGTAACTATCCGTGATAAACTCATTATTTCCATACTATCTCCTTCCTTGATTCTTCTGCTTTTTTGTGCAAAGTAACTTTTCCGCTACCTCTACCAGTTTTTCTTCTACGGTCTGCCGAATAGAACAATGTTTTTGATACAACTTGCCCCATGGCTTGGGTGAGTTGTATCACATAGTGGGGTAATTTGTAACACTATTTCACGTTTCAGGGAGTGTGCTTGCTACTGGTTTTGAACATAACAACAACATTAAATGGGGTTAATACAATGTATCTGCTCAAAGGCTTCACTTTTATTAGACCAAACTTAGGTCAATCCGAACGAAACATCGAAACGAACGAAACATCAACAGACTAGACGCAAAAGTGGCCCGTTAAGAGCAAAGAAGCCAACACATTGTGCCGAAATGGAACGAGTATTGACTAGCTACCTACAAACGCGAGCCAGGGCTTAGCTTTCGCGATCAAAAGCAACATACCCATACATACATACATACAATGTACATACATGTTACAACATACCCCACCCGGCTCTGATACAACATGTACGGTTCTCCAGTAAAAGTCTTGTTGGTTTTGCTTTTTCGGACATATCTGGTCCTATATAATGTTCAAATGCATAAGTATCAACCCGAATTATGTGTATGCACATTTACCACGAGACTGTGAAATTGCATCGTTGTATGCCAAATACTTTCCGAGATATTCACCAAAAACCTCATTTTCTGCCGTTTGGGGTATTCTGGCCGCAATCTTCCTGGGGTCGCCTATGACATCAGTAGAGCCATCTAACGAGAGGAACGCGGAAACACAGGATCATGAATGAATCGAGTGCGTAGTAAACGGTGTATGAAAGGGAGACTCGGCAGAGGCTATCCGGGTGGCCGGCGCGCGGCGCGCCCTCAGGCATCGGCCGACCCTTCGGACCGCGTGGGGTCAGAGGTCGCGCTCGGGAAGTCTCGGCTCTGGGTTTTAGCGCTGTGCAGTCAGGAAAGGAGCATAGGATTGCGCTAGCCCGACTGACTAGTATCTCGGCTGATTCGTGTGGGGTGAAGGGAGCACAGAACGGGATGGTGGCTAGTGGTGGATGATGGGATGGTGGTTATGTTAGTGCGTACTGCGTAGAACGTAGCTGAACATGCATTTTTTTTCATCGCAAACAACATGCAGCATAATGTGCGGGATTATGCCAGAACTCATACAAAAAGGAAATAACATTTCGGCCGAGGGAGTGGATGAGTGCCGTGACAAAGCATGACGATTGACGAATGACGATGCTGCCAAAATCGGGATGCTTTTTTGCCCCCATCTTTTTACCCCTAACATGCAGCGCTTGATCCGAACTTAGAGGTCCCCGACTGACCTTAGACCTTAAAATCGCACCCGGCCGGTGCGCCACCTTTTCTTCGGGGGCGCTCTTCTTGGTTGTATCTGTTCCTACCAATAACTAAAGCAAATCGAATGTATAATAAAAAAAGGCATACCTCAAACACAGTTTTATTCACATCCCCTCGTGTGCATACTTGTTTTTAACTATAACTTCTCGCATCATAATATATCACTTCAGTGCTTAATCCTCAACGGAATTTTGGATTTTCTGCATATACCCCGGCCGAGGGGGGGGGCGATTACGACCCCTCTCCGTCTTTTTGCCCCTAATTGAGCTAGCGTCTTGCGGATGAAACTGAGCGGGTGCGTCGTATGAGATGCAGCAACTGGTACCCGAGTTGAATGTCTCAGGTCAACCGATTAACTCTGAGGTCAGTATAAGTGCTGGCCAAGTCGCGGGATCGGTTTTTAGTAAACTACTTTACCATAAGTGGTTACAGAGCCAAGACAATGGCACCATCGAGTTTTGCATGCTCAAGCGCGTCGAATAGTATACGCTTTGTTTTTGTTGAGGTCAATTTAAGGTGTTCACCTCAGGTCATGTCAGGGCAGAGCCACTCAGGCCACGAGGCTGGTTCAAGGAGGTCATATCGCTTCTTCGATTCGGTAGGTCCTCACAAGTCCACTGGTGGCTTCACGACTCGCTGGCTCAATTTTATCGAGACTTTTTGGTGAAAACTCCTGTGACTTTAGTGACGTCATAAATGAAGTCGCCTAACTTTAAGAATGGAAAAGTGAATGCTGGGGCTTGCTAAGATTGTATAAAATCGCGAATTAATGCGCTTGCGACAGCTTTAGATGGCTCCCGGCGCCAAAATAACAGCTTTCATATTTCCCAATTGACTAATAATCGTGAGGTGCGTGACCGACCTGACTTCAGGTGACTCTAAAGAAAAATACGAGATAGCTACATACAAGTTGTGAGGCCTTTGGGAGATAGTACTAGATCATATAAACTTCATTCCCCGTTGAAAAGTCCCCTGGCACGAAGGGTGCTGCGACGTCGCGACATTTTGGGTCCTTACAGAGGTTCACTTTTGATGTCATTGGTCAACGGCCTGACCTTAACCTTCGCACTTGTAGGAGGGTGTCGAACAGACCTCCTACCCTCAGTTTTTCGCAAATAACTCGCGCAAAAAGCGGCTGATTGCGACGAAACTTTCAGTACCCTCGAGTTAATCAATATTGCGCCTACCCTATAATTTGTATGACCCTGGCTCAAAAGACCTTTGACTTGTGACCTGTTTTCCGAGATGATGTTTGGCCGGAATCGCGTTTTGGCGTATTTCGAGGAGAGCGCGTTTTATTGTCTTTTTGTGGCTTTAAGCGATCAAACATGTGAAAGGATGTTGATCCCATGGATTCTAGTGGGTATCAAGGTCACGTGAAGGTCAGTCAGCGTCACTGACCTTTGATTACCTTTGTTCACTCTTTCGAGTTCTACATGTTTCTGGGGTAGATTTTGGAGTTGATTTCGCATTTAGAAACCGTTTGAAAATTTAAGAAGTAGTTTTGGTTCCCTTGTAACATGTGATGTGCTGACCTGACCTGACCTGACCTGGCCTAAATGCACGAAAACATCATCTGTGATCAAAACTAACTTGAAATTCGTGATCAGCACCCCGCAAAACCCTATAACAGCTTCACTTTACGAAGCTCTAACAGGTCCCGATTCCCCGACTTTTGAGTTGTTGAACTGTCAACTTTGACAACTTTGTCAACTTAGACTTCTGACCTGTCAACCAATGACCTAGGATATTAAAATTGGGTATCATCGGCCTCCTCTCGTCACGGGCAACACGCACTTTTTCCGCGAAGCTCTAGCTCGATCAGGGGTTGAACGGCAAAGGGGTCCAACGGACCCTCCTCCCCCCTTTACGATAGACGCTGGCAAAACACCAATATGGGCGAGGGTGAAAATACAGCTGCTGTCCTAAAAA